CCATATGTATTGCATTTACTGTATTACTGAATTTACGCCATAAGTCTTGCATTTACTGTATTACTGATTTACACCATAAGTCTTGCATTTACTGTATTACTGAATTTACGCCACAGGGTATTGCATTTTACTGTATTACTGAATTTACGCCATATGTATTGCATTTACTGTATTACTGAGTATTGCATTTACTGTATTACTGAATTTTACGCCATATGTATTGCATTAATTGCTATTACTGAATTTACGCCATATGTATTGCATTTACTGTATTACTGAATTTACGCCATAAGTATTGCATTTACTGTATTACTGAATTTACGCCACAAGTATTGCATTTACTGTATTACTGAATTTACGCCATATGTATTGCATTTACTGTATTACTGAATTTACGCCATATGTATTGCATTTACTGTATTACTGAATTTACGCCATATGTATTGCATTTACTGTATTACTGAATTTACGCCATAAGTATTGCATTTACTGTATTACTGAATTTACGCCATAAGTCTTGCATTTACTGTATTACTGAATTTACGCCACAGGTATTGCATTTACTGTATTACTGAATTTACGCCATATGTATTGCATTTACTGTATTACTGAGTATTGCATTTACTGTATTACTGAATTTACGCCATATGTATTGCATTAATTGTATTACTGAATAAACGCCATATGTATTCCTTTAACTGTATTACTGAATTTACGGCATATGTATTGCATTTACTGTATTACTGAATTTACACCATATGTATTGCACTTACTGTATTACTGAATTTACGCCATATGTATTGCATTTACTGTATTACTGAATTTACGCCACATGTATTGCATTTACTGTATTACTGAATTTACACCATATGTATTGCATTTACTGTATTACTGAATTTACGCCATATGTACTGCATGTACTGTATTTCTGAATTTACGCCATATATATTTGCATTTACTGTATTACTGAATTTACGCCATGTATATTGCAATTACTGTATTACTGAATATACGCCATATGTATTGCACTTACTGTATTACTGAATTTACGCCACAGGTATTGCATTTACTGTATTATTGAATTTAACGCCATATGTATTGCATTTACTGTATTACTGAATTTACGCCATATGTACTGCATGTACTGTATTACTGAATTTACGCCACAGGTATTGCATTTACTGTATTATTGAATTTACGCCATATGTATTGCACTTACTGTATTACTGAATTTACGCCACAAGTATTGCAATTACTGTATTACTGAATATACGCCATATGTATTGCACTTACTGTATTACTGAATTTACGCCATGTATATTGCAATTACTGTTTTACTGAATTTACGCCATATGTATTGTATTTACTGTATTACTGAATTTACGCCAGAAGTTTTGCATTTACTGTATTACTGAAATTACGCCATATGTCTTGCATTTACTGTATTACTGAATTTACGCCACATTTATTGCATTTACTGTATTACTGAATTTACACCATCTGTATTGCATTTACTGTATTACAAAAATTACGCTATATGTATTGCATTTACTGTATTACTGAATTCACGCATAAGTATTGCATTTACTGTATTACTGAATTTACGCCACAAGTATTGTAATTCCTGATTACTGAATTTACGCCACAAGTATTGCAATTCCTGATTACTGAATTTACGCCATAAATATTGTCACTTACTGTAATAATGAATGAACATCATCAGCATTGTTAACACTTACTGTATTGATAAATGTACGCAGTAAATATTTGCGCATACTGTAATAATGAATGGTCGCCATAAGGATTTTTACTTACTGTATCAATGATTGTACGCCATAGCCATTCTCACTTTAAAAATACATGAAAAGAAAATGTATGAAAGTACGACAAAAGTAAAAACCTGTTTTACTGTATCGGTAAATGTTCGTCATAAGAAAATTTGTAGGAATATAATTCTTTTTTTATTTCAATTTTCTCGTTGTAAGTTGTTACATATTGGATCGTAAGGAATAAAGCTTTTTATTTAAAAAAAATCCATTTTATTTTGGCGTTAAAGAAAAACATAAGGCTTGTTTTGAAATTAGTATCATTACTTTCTAATATTTTCAAATGTTAGGATAGATTGGTATATTTTTCTTTGCAGTGATGAGTTTTGTAAAGACCACTGTGACCTTCACCTTTGACCTTTTGGCACAATTGATATAGCATTTTACAATTCTAAAATGCTAAAAAAATATCGCAAATTGGTTCTTTGTTATTTGAAAGGTAAACATTATTTCAAATATGTTGCCTAACATAACAGCATAAACATTATCACATTTCTAAATGAACTTGAAACCCTCTACTTAACTTCTGCCAGCTAAACATTTATATGTAATTGATATTGTTCCCAGCATGTTGCAGAAATAACAATTAAACAAATCTCCAGTTAATATGGCATTTTGCAATTCTAAACCATTTATATATGTAATAAATCACAAACACAAAAAGTAATAAAAGTATCATATACTTTATAAATAATCATCATCACGCAGCTGCGACTAGGTTTCAGTTTCAAGAAGTCATAAAACGTCTTTTCGATGAATACCAGTAATTTATCCTTTCTTTACAAATAGATTTTTGTTTTCCAATAACTGCCATTTTCCATACTTTTTGTGCAATAATTCCAGTCATAAGGTTAGTGCACATATGTTCACTGTAGGGCAGAAATTAGAAAAAAAAAACTACTAAGATTTCACTTAATCATAATTCTATTTCATCTAATTAGTGCGTTGTCATAGAAACAGATTATAATATGTTTTAGTTTATGCCAATTAATGAAGTGGGTGATTTGTCCGTTCAGTGATTAATCGTTTGAAAACTTCAAGTACTGTCTGGTCCTGTAAAACGAATAAGACAAAACCCAGAATCCAATTTGATATAAAAACGTAAAAAGATTTTGTTTTGTATTTTGTAACAGTTTCTTCATATAAACTCATTTGCCATATATTGCTCCCTTTACTATGTAAGCTATTAGTATAACTATACTGAATAAGTATTTTACTGTAAGTCAAAATAATGTTTTGTTTACATTCATGCTGCTACCTTTACAACACATTAATGAACTTTTGATGCTTCTTACGTCCTTGTTAAGCATTTTAAATACTCTAAATCAATTATTAAAACATTATTAAACACAAGATTTTAAATTTCTAAAAAAAAATAAAAATATATATATCTGCGGCATAATGTGTCTTTAAGAAAGATTGCACTGAAGTTTTTATATTGCAATACCATTGATTATGCTTGCTTTACCTCTGTGGGCCTTGTTTAACACTTAACGTTTAGGATTTGCGCTGCTTTTTAATTTGGGATAATCCATACGAGGTTTAAGGGCTTTAAATATGAAATTACTCCCTGAGCTAGCAACAATGTAGAATCTGATCTTACTGCACGTTATAGCAGACTGGCCTGATTTATACTGGGGAGTGGTGGCGAAGGTTAATCGAATCGCTTCCGGTTCCAGAAGGTTAAGGTTTAAGACAAAATGAGAATTTTCTTCTTTAAAATGATTACTAGCAATATACTAGTACAAGCTTAAGTTGAGAGAATACTTTTTTAAATCAGTGAAAACTTGTTGTGTACAGTCGAACCTGTGAAAAAAAGATCAGAAAGAGAGACTAAACATGGCCTTATTAGACAAGTGGTCTTTATTTGTGGCTTACTCTGTTCTATTAAATCAATAACCGGTTGTTGAAATTATTGTTTGTCACAATGTGGTTTTTATTCAGAGGTGGTGTTTAACACAAGTTTGACTGTACATTAAATTGAGTTCCTTAACCCCCAGCCTGCTAGCGATAAGAGTTTCTTCCCGTGCGACTTTATAGTTGGAGCAAGAAAACTGAACTTCTTACTTGCATCTTTTAGTGCAGACTTTTAAATTTTTATTTATTTTTAGGTTAGGTTTGTGCGCCATGCAAACATTTTTTGGCGTTGAAAGCATTTTGTTGGGGGACATTTTTACGAACTGTTTTAACAGTATCAACAATTATATTTGTTTGAACGGGTAATTTTTTTTGAAATTATATTCTTGTAACAGTGCATACTCCATAATATTGAACATTGTACAACTAGGTAGAGAATAAAACATAGTAAATAGATAAGAAACACAGGCTACAGTATCTGTATCTGTTCCCGAGTATAAAACAGATTTCCGAGCGATTTGATGTTCTTTCTCTTATAAATCGCAGGCAAAATTAAAAACACGTTCCTTGTTGTCACAATATGAAACCCCAGAAAATTGTATCCAATGAACGGTTATTTGAATGTGATATTTCTATCGTTATACCTTTCTTTGTCGTCACAAAAAATAAACCCCGGAAAAAATGAGCCAATCAATGAGTATGTTCTCAAATGTGGGCAACTAAATATGTACCTGCACTCCAGTTAACACACTGTGCATGTTTGTGTTTACGATTTAACTCTGACACATTCCCCAAACTATGATACAACCATTAATGTACAACACTTAGTATGAATATTGTATGTAAAGATGGAATAAACTTTTGCGAGACATTATAATTTAAGTAGGGTTTTAACCGTTTATTAATTATTTCGTACATGCGCCATTCGCTCTTAGGGAAATTCACAATAATTTCTGTCATACAGGCATTTTAGAGGTTTTATTTTTTAAAATTCAAACATTAATTTTTTTGCAGCCATTTTTAGCTGTATACACTATTTTCAAAAGGTGAAATTTATACATGTAGATGTTTACATTTAAAATAGCTAGAAATATCAAATATTACTTTTTTACAAAAAAAAAAGAAGAAAAAATGATAATGAAATAAATTAAATGATAAAGTTTTGTAATTAAGACAATAATCCTCTGACTAATTCCTCAGATTTTATACGCTTCACAGCAAAAACATCTCTCTTTAACACAAATATGCCATTTTCTTGCCTGCCAATAAGAAATTATTGGAGACACGTGACCAAGTTCGCCTAATACCTCGACCAACTGTTTCTTAATAGCATTAATAACTAAACGAGTTGCCAGCGATTCATTACACATACGTTTATAATTCCGCACTCGCAATTATTGTCAAACAAAAGTTACAGAAAACACTGTGACTTTTGATATTTTGATAATTAGTATGGTATTCAACAGTATGGTTTTCAGGAAATTTTCACATGCACAGTAAACATATTAAGAACAGCGTGATAACGTTACAGAAACTTTTAAAAATGAAACTAAGAATTGACTACAGGGATTAGAGAGTAAATTACATTACTTTGATTGATGTGTTTAAAATGAATTCAACAAAGTATCCGCTGGTAGCCTTCATTTTTGTTTGTTTGCTGTATCTGCTATTCACAATTTGTAAGTATTTTTTTCTCACTTTAATAAGTTTTTCTATACTTGCAAAAAATGTGTTACAGTCTAATTCCAAAGAAAAGCGATAACATTCTTTTATAATTTGCGACAAAATTTGTAGTACATGTATATTTGGGTGAAAATGAGAACGGCAAGTGCTTCGTTGAGAAATATATCACGCTTCCGACCTTCTTTGTTTATGTAAGAGAAATCTCCAATAGTGCATTTTTCTTGACGTGTTAGAAATGGAAATTAAATTTACACACACAAATTTTATCAACGTTTTCAAAATTTATTATTCTCAAAAATTTCTGCAAACAGTAGACTTTACAGACGTTTAATTCAATCGGCTGGAACAGCCTTTAAAGAACGTTTCTATTATAGTTTAAAATGCACGGTTTTTCGTTCAAATATTTTGTAATTAATCACTGAGGCCTATCAGCCTTCGTGATCATATTTCTACGTATTGAACTCAAACAGCGCATTATTCTACAACAGTGCACTCAGAATTGATAACTATTTCTTAAATGAATGTACGCAATAAGTACTGTTACTAAGTCTTACTGTAGAAATGAATGTACTTAATTAGTTACGTACGCCATAAGTATTGTCACTTACTGCATTAAGTAATGTACGCAATAAATATTGTCACTAACTGCATTAAGAAATGTACGCCATAACAATTCACTAACTGTTATACACCATAAGTCTTGCATTAACTGTATTACTGAATTTACGCCATAAGTCTTGCATTTACTGTATTACTGAATTTACGCCATATGTATTGCATTTACTGTATTACTGAATTTACGCCATATGTATTGCATTTACTGTATTACTGAATTTACGCCATATGTATTGCATTTATTGTATTACTGAATAAACGCCATTTGTATTCCTTTAACTGTATTACTGAATTTACGCCATATGTATTGCATCTACTGTATTACTGGATTTACACCATATGAATTGCACTTACTGTATTACTGAATTTACGCCATATGTATTGCATTTACTGTATTACTGAATTTACGCAACAAGTATTGCATTTACTGTATTACTGAATTTACGCAACAAGTATTGCAGTTACTGTATTACTGAAGTTACGCCATATGTATTGCATTTACTGTATTACTGAATTTACGCCACATGTATTGCATTTACTGTATTACTGAATTTACGCCAAATGGATTGCATTTACTGTATTACTGAATTTACGCCATATGTACTGCATGTACTGTATTTCTGAATTTACGCCATATGTATTGCATTAACTGTATTACTGAATTTACGCCATAAGTATTGCATTTACGGTATTACTGAAATTACGCCATATGTATTGCATTTACTGTATTACTGAATTTACGCCACATGTATTGCATTTACTGTATTACTGAATTCACGCATAAGTATTGCATTAACAGTATTACTGAATATACGCCACACGTATTGCATTTACTGTATTACTGAATTTACGATACAAGTATTGCAGTTACTGTATTACTGAAGTTACGCCATATGTATTGCATTTACTGTATTACTGAATTTACGCCACATGTATTGCATTTACTGTATTACTGAATTCACGCCAAATTGATTGCATTTACTGTATTACTGAATTTACGCAACAAGTATTGCGGTTACTGTTTTACTGAAGTTACGCCATATGTATTGCATTAACTGTATTACTGAATTTACGCCACAGGTATTGCATTTACTGTATTACTGAATTTACGCCATATGTATTGCATTTACTGTATTACTGAATTTACGCCATATGTACTGCATGTATTGTATTTCTGAATTTACGCCATATGTATTACATTTACTGTATTACTGAACTTACGCCATAAGTATTGCATTTACTGTATTACTGAAATTACGCCATACGTATTGCAGTTATTGTATTACTGAATTTACGCCATATGTATTGCATTTACTGTATTACTGAATAAACGCCATATGTATTGCATTTACTGTATTACTGAATTTACGCAACAAGTATTGCGGTTACTGTTTTACTGAAGTTACGCCATATGTATTGCATTAACTGTATTACTGAATTTACGCCACAGGTATTGCATTTACTGTATTACTGAATTTACGCCATATGTATTGCATTTACTGTATTACTGAATTTACGCCATATGTACTGCATGTACTGTATTTCTGAATTTACGCCATATGTATTACATTTACTGTATTACTGAACTTACGCCATACGTATTGCATTTACTGTATTACTGAATAAACGCCATATGTATTGCATTTACTGTATTACTGAATTTACGCCATATGTATTGCATTTACTGTATTACTGAATAAACGCCATATGTATTGCATTTACTGTATTACTGAATTTGCGCCATATGTATTGCATTTACTGTATAACTGAATTTACGCCATATGTATTGCATTTACTGTATTACTGAATATACGCCAGATGTATTGCATTTACTGTATTACTGAATTCATGCATAAGTATTGCATTTACTGTATTTCTGAATATACGCCACACGTATTGCATTTACTGTATTACTGAATTTACGCCACAAGTATTGTTTATTACTGAACTTGCGCCACAAGTATTGCAATTCCTGATTATTGAATTAACGCCATAAATATTGTCACTTACTGTAATAATGAATGCATTTTATTTTGACGTTAAAAGAAAAACATAAGGCTTGTTTTGAAATTAGTATCATTACTTTCTAATATTTTCAAATGTTAGGATAGATTGGTATATTTTTCTTTGCAGTGATGAGTTTTGTAAAGACCACTGTGACCTTCACCTTTGACCTTTTGGCACAATTGATATAGCATTTTGCAATTCTAAAATGCTAAAAAAATATCGCAAATTGGTTCTTTGTTATTTGAAGGGTAAACATTATTTCAAATATGTTGCCTAACATAACAGCATAAACATTATCACATATCTAAATGAACTTGAAACCCTCGACTTAAGTTTTCACATCTAAACATTTATATGCATTTGATATTGTTCCCAGCATGTCGCAGAAATACAATTAAACAAATCTCCAGTTAATATGGCATTTTGCAATTCTAAACCATTTATATATGTAGTAAATCAATTACACTCGCACCTAACACAAAAGGTAAAAAAAATATACCATAATATATTTTATAAATAATCATCACGCAGCTGCGACTAGGTTCTGGTTTCAAGACGTCATAAATTATTGTTTAAATTAATATATTTTGCATTTTTTATGAATACCAGTAATTTATCCTTTCTTTACAAATAGATTTTTGTTTTTGCCAGTTTATTTCCATACGTTTTGTGCAATAATTCCAGTCATAAGATTAGTGCACATATGCTCACTGTAGGGCAAAAATAAGAATAAAAACTACAAGATTTCAACGATTTATAATCATAATTCTATTTCATCTAATTTGTACGCCTACATGGGAACGGCGCATACCATGTTTTTAGTTTATGTCTTTTAATGAAGAGGAAGGTTGCTGTGATTAATCATTTGAAAACTTCAAGTACTATCTGGTCCTGTAAAACAAATAAGACAAAACCCAGAATCCAATTTGTTATAAAAACGTTAAAGGCTCATTATGACTCACAAATGTTTTGTATTTTGTTACAGTTTCTTAACATAATTTCATTTGCCATATATTGCTCCCTTTACTCTGTTAGCTATTAGTATAGTTATAGTGAATTAGTATTTTAATGGAAATCAAAACACTATTTTGTTTACATTCTGCTGCATTTACAACACATTAATGCACTGTTGATGCTACTTCCGTCCTCGTTAAGCATGTTACATACTCTAAATCAACTATTAAAACATTATTAAACACAAGATTTTAAATTTCTAAATAATTAAAAATATATATATCTGAGGCATAATGTGTCTTTAAGAAAGATTGCCCTTAAGTTTTTATATTGCAATACCATTGAACGCTTTGGGCGGCCTTAACCCTTAACCTTCTGGATTTGTGTTTAGGATTTGCCCAGCTTTTAATTTGTGACAATCCATCCGAAGTTTGAGGGCTTTAAATATGAAACTACTCACTGAGCTATCGACAATATAGAAGCTAGTCAGACTACATTTAATAGCAGGATGGCGGTTTATACTGGTAGCAAAGGTTAACCGAATCTCTTCAGGTTCAAAAATGGTTAAGGTTTAAGACAAAATGAGAATTTTCTTCTTTAAAATGATTACTAGTTATATACTAGTACAAGAGCGATGAGTGATCACGTGTGTCGCCTGATTATAGACAATTACATGTAAGCAGTAGTATTTTCACGGATGATTGTCCAGTTTGCGGCTACTCTATAGCATGTTGTAGCTGCTGTGTTGCAGGAGTTACAAAAGTCATTAACAGGCCAAACACATGTTTGATGCAAAGACCATAACTCAGCTATAATCATTTAACTGGAAAGTTTTTAAAATAAGAATGGAAAAAGATATTAATTCTTCGTGCATTATAGTATGATAATGCACGGTTTTTCGTTCAAGTGTTTTGTAATTAATCACTCAGGCCTATCGGCCTTCGTGATCATATTCCTACGTATTTGAACTCAAACAGTGCATTATTCTACAACAATGCACTCAGAATTGATAACTAGTTCTTAAATATACGTACGCAATAAGTATTGTCACCAAGTCTTACTGTATAAATGAATGTACTTAATTAGTTGCGTTCAATGAACGTACGCCATAAGTATTGTTACTTACTGCATTTATTAATGAACGCAATAAATTATATCACTAACTGCATTAAGACATGTACGCCAAAACAAAAAAATCTTACTGTACTACACAATATGTATTGCATTTACTGTATTACTGAGTTGACGCCATATGTATTGCATTTACTGTATTACTGAATTGACGCCATATGTATTGCATCTACTGTATTGCTGAATTGACACCACAAGTATTGCATTTACTGTATTACTGAATTGACGCCATATGTATTGCATCTACTGTATAATTGAATTTACGCCACAAGTATTGCATTTACTGTATTACTGAATTGACTCCATATGTATTGCATTTACTGTATTACTGAATTTACGCCATATGTATTGCATTTACTGTATAACTGAATTTACGTCATATGTATTGCATTTACTATATTACTGAATTTACGCCATATGTATTGTATTTACTGTATTACTGAATTTACGCCATATGTACTGCATTTACCGTATTACTGTATTTACGTCATATATATTGAATTTACTGTATTACTGTATTTACGCCATATCTATTGAATTTACTGTATTACTGTATTTACGCCATATCTATTGCATTTACTGTATTACTGAATTGACGCCACAAGTATTGCATTTACTGTATTACTGAATTTACGCCATAAGTGTTGTCACTTACTGTATTACTGAATTTACGCCATAAGTATTGTCACTTACTGTATTACTAAATTTACGCCGTAAGTGTTGTCACTTACTGTATTACTTAAGTTTTCACATCTAAACATTTATATGTAATTGATATTGTTCCCAGCATGTTGCAAAAATACAATTAATTTACAAATCTCCAGTTAATATGGCTTTTTGCAATTCTAAACCATTTATATATGTAATAAATCACAAACACAAAAAGTAATAAAAGTATCATATACTTTATAAATAATCATCATCACGCAGCTGCGACTAGGTTTCGGTTTCAAGAAGTCATAAAACGTGTTTAAATAATTCCATTCTTCTTTTCGATGAATACCAGTAATTTATCCTTTCTTTACAAATAGATTTTTGTTTTCCAATAACTGCCATTTTATACTTTTTGTACAAAAAATCCAGTCATAAGGTTACTTGTTATTTTCACGGATGATTGACCTGTTTGCGGCTACTCTATAGCATGTTGTAGCTGCTGTGTTGCAGGAGTTACAAAAGTCATTAACAGGTCAAACACATGTTTAATGCAAGGGCCATAACTCAGCTAAAATCATTCATCTTGAAAACGCATTAATTATTTGCAAGTATTTGAGTCATCGTTTAATCCTGTAAAATTTCACTCTAATTGCATTAGTAGTATAAGAGAAATAGTCTAGGCAAAACTTTAAAAACACATTAAAGGGCCATAACTCTGACAAAAATCATAGACATGGAATATGTCAACAATATACACATCTAGGCTTGGTGATAATCATTCCTGTATAGTTTTGATGCAATTGCACCAGTCGCTTTTGAGAAGTTGGCCGGGCAAGTTTTGTGATACGGACCGACGAACTGGCAGACGACCAAGAAGTGATCATTATAAGTTGTAGCTATTTTGTAGCAGGTACTGTGTAGCTGGCAACACAAAAATCATTAACAGGCCAAAACGCCCTTTTTATTTCAAGGGCCATAACACGAACAAAAATCATTCAACCGATAAACCCGTGTCTTCTGCGCACGAATTTTAGCTAGCTACCGATCAACCATGTGAAGTTTTATTCAAATTGCAATACTGGTGTAAGAGAAGTAGTCCAGACAAATTTTGTTTAAATGAAAATCATTAAAGAACCATTACTCTGACAAAATATTGAACTGGAAAATACCAACGATAAGCACAATTAGACTTGTTACTGATCCTTCCTGTAAAGTTTGGATGAAATTGCACCAGTAGTTATTGAGGGGTATTCCGGACAATTTTTGTGACGGACAGACGGACGGACGTTCTTACATTTTGGTATTATGTGACTATTTTTTTGTTCTAAAGCGCCACATAAAACCCGCATAAAACTTTACGGAATAAGTATGATCAAAGAAAATTTACTGTTACCTATTGTTCCAATAGCCACATAGATTCAAAAATGTTTCCTCGGACAGACGGACGACGGAGAAGTGATCCTTATATATCGCCGGTCCTTTCTAGCAGGCAATGCAAAATGGTATTTTAAATTTTGATGATCACATTTATATAAGACGTTTTATTTCATAGAAAATGCTTAAACACACAAAACAATAAAAAAACGATATCTATAGGATTGGTACAAAATATGGCACATTATCAAAAAAGATCTAGATATTAATTCTGCCATTAAAAGACATATCACATCAAGATATATCCAATATAAACCTGAAATAACGACGGTTCTTAATGTACCTTTACGATAATCCGATTAGGCGACAGCTGATCAAGTTTCGGCACTGAAACCATTTGTGATATTGAGAGAAAAAAGGCACCTCAAAAACTGATACTAAACCCTGCAAAACAATACAAACTTCTTTTCGGTTCATTACATGCGGATTGGAGCAAAATACATATGACACATTAACTTATTCAATGATAAATGACAAAGTATCGGTAAATGCATGATATGTTCTTGATATATAAAACTATATCTCCAGTAACCGAAGGCAAATGTCATCTGTCAGAATTAATACAAAAAAGTTACGAAAACAGAACGAATTACCCAATCGTCAAATGCAAATTACTGCTATATCGTTAACGTTAGTGTATTATAAAAATACAGATTGAACAAAACGTCATGCAGTATTTAATTCCTCTGTGAGTCTTATGTTCAGATTCAAATGTACTTTGTTAGTTTGTCAACAACATCTTTCTGAAGATGAAGACGTTACTCAAAATAAGACATAATACCATGTTCTGGGTAATATTTTGGTGGGTTTCAGCGAGAAGTAACCTCAAGTTTTAGCATATTATTCAAACGGAATGTTTTGATTTTTTCTTGATACAATCAGCAGTTTTTGTTTAAGTTCATATACACTTCGATTCTATGAAGAAGGCACTTCAAAAAGTCTCTGTTATTATGTATGGCACAACTCGACACCGCGTTATATATTTTATTCAAGGAAGGATTTGTTTGCTATTCATGTCATCTTTATCAATTTAAAATGTGACAGTCTGAATTCCATATCTTTTTTAGACAATGTTTCTAGAGAAGACATTAAAAGTTACTGTATTATTTTGAAAATTCCTGGTTTTCATCAGGACAACAGAAATTATAAATTGATCTCATTTTATCTAACAATCAAATATAGCGGGATATTTATTTCAACGACAGCTTCTTTGTTATTAATTTGAAAGTTGATTAACAAGACACGACATGTAATGAAATTTCCATTATAAAGTATAAATTAAGATGTATGGTGAAAAATTATCAAAGTATTGTTCAATTTTATTGAATTTCTTTGATATAATAACTGGTATAGTAATTTCTACTCTGACATTCCTAAGAAGTATGAATTGCTCGGTCGATAATAAAAAAGATGATTAGATTTGATTTAATTTAAAAGACAGTTAATCTAAATGAGTGTAAAAAAGAGTTAAATAAATGTAGAATAAATATATACAATGTAGAATGATTCCTAGTACAGTAGATGATTAAAAAAACTATTGCTTAGATTTTTCGTTTTTCACCATCATGTTCATTCAAAAATGCTTGCATTTGAAATCTGAAAACATACAGGAAATCATTTCTGGTGTAGGCTTTTGTACGTACAAAAACAATAAAACTTTCTTTTTTGTTGCGAAAACATGCAAAATGTATAGATTTGTGACTATTTTCTTTTTGATTATAATAATAATTCCATATTGGATGTATAATGTTCATATCCTACAATGATATATTTTTGTTGGTCGTGAGGACAATGTATTTTGCATTTTCCGAACATATTTTATGAGACTATACTTTGAACATATTCTATGAGACTATACTTTGAACATATCTTACGAGACTATGCTTTGAACATATTCTATGAGACTATACTTTGAACATATTCTATGAGACTATACTTTGAACATATCTTACGAGACTATGCTTTGAACATATTTAATGTGACTATACTTTGAACATATTCTATGAGACTATACTTTGATCATATTCGATGACGTTATACTTTGAGCATATTCTATGAGACTATACTTTGAACATATACTATAAGACTATACTTTGAACATATTCTATGAGACTATACTTTGAACATATTCTATGAGACTATACTTTGAACATATTCTATGAGACTATACTTTGAACGTATTCTATGAGACTATACTTTGCACATATTCTATGAGACTATACTTTGATCATATCTTATGAGACTATACTTTGAACATATTCTATGAGACTACACTTTGAACATATTCTATGAGACTATACTTTGAACATATTTTACCTATGAGACTATACTTTGATCATATTTAATGTGACTATACTTTGAACATATTCTATGAGACTATACTTTGATCATATTCGATGACACTATACTTTGAGCATATTCTATGAGACTATACTTTGAACATATACTATGAGACTATACTTTGAACATATTCTATGAGACTATACTTTGAACATATTCTATGAGACTATACTTTGAACATATTCTATGAGACTATACTTTGAACATATTCTATGAGACTATACTTTGAACATATTCTATGAGACTATACTTTGAACATATTCTATGAGACTATACTTTGAACATATTTTACCTATGACTCTATACTTTGATCATATTTTATGTATACTTTGAACATATTTTATGAGGCTATACTTTGAACATATTCTATGAGACTATACTTTGAACATATTTTACCTATGAGACTATACTTTGATCGTATTTTATACGACTATACACCATGTATTTCAGATCAAACAGAGAGAAGCTTTACAGTGAATCCTTCGTCGCAGCAGACACTTTCCATCTTCAACATAGATGGATTCTTTAAGAACATAGGTAAATATATATGTAAAACAGTATAGGCAATTACATTATCAATATTTAACCTGCTGGAAGCAAAAGTGATTAGTCTTTGCCACTAAAACAGAGCAAGGACAGCCTTATACTGTTGGTAGCCCATTTTTTATATTTTTATATTGAAATTTAATTGTGATTGTTCCAAATTAATATCAGGACCAATGCATCATACACACAAAATATCAAGTAGGTTGAAATACAATTATAACCATTGCTATGCAATAACTGATTTACATTGGGGTATTTATCAAATCAAACAGCTAAACCACTATGCGTTCTTCTAATATAATACACAGGTTATTATAATTATGATTTGAGTTTAATCTATGTAATATATATATGGTATCCAAATATGACTTGATATCTAGAAACATAAGAAAGTTATTAATCATTTTGATAACTTAAGTTTATCCATGCTATCGATATCAAAAAAAAATCTATTTGTTGTCAACACAACCGGAATCAAACATGTTGACATAAAAACCATGATAATTTAATCTAACTTTAATCAGTTTCTATTCATGTAAGATATAAAAGGCATATATCGTCGTTGGGGGGTCAAAATCTCGTATAACAGTTTTTGCTACTTTTCAGGAGGAACATTTTTTTGATTTCTTTCTTTCTAAAAGAACCTTCTGTGGAAACAATTCCTGTATAGTGGTAACATGAATAGTACGTTTTAATATATAATTGATTTTTATGAGTTGGTTTGATCAGTTTTGACATATAGAGTGTACGACAATTTGACCTTAAAAAATAGCATATACGACATTTTGACCATAAGGGATAATCAAAGAAGTGCATTTATTTAGAAGTAGAATAACAATATAATATCATTTTCATGAACATTGTTTTATTTTTTAACAACTTGAAACCTTGAAGTATTGATATTTAACTTGAACAAATTAAACAGAGTTGGTTAATAAACTGTTAACTTTTGACATAACAATTGAATTAAACATCAACTTTCCTCAGTCTTTTTATGCATTCACACACACACACACACACACACACACACACACACACACACACGCACATACGCACGCACGCACGCACACGTACGCACGCACACTCGCGACGCGCACACGCACAGACGCACACGCACTCACTCACTCAAATCTTTAAAACTTTGAAATTCAACTTGAACAAATAAAACAAACAAAATTAATTAACTTCATTATTGACTGAAACATCAATCTTTCTCAGTCTTTAAATTCACTATTTATGAATTTAGTACTTTTTACTTCAAATGAATAAAATGGCACTTTCATATTACTGTCAAGAGAAAATTATAGTTTAACTAAGGTCCCATAACGAAACACCTGTATACATTTCGTTTTTCATGTTTTTTAAGAATCATGTTTCAGGTGGTCATAAAACCCATGATAATCCATTGGAAGAACACTTTTTAAGTGCCTGTAAATGGTCGAACTTCGTTTTCTTTATCTTCAAAGGACCACCGTGCAACTTTGGTATTATCTCTGTATGTTTAACATAAGATTTTCTAGATTTTCTTGGAAGTTCCTTAAATGAGTCTCTATAATTCAATTTATAGCGTACAGAACCATCTGCTTCGTAGTGAAGAACTCTAATGTCACTAACCACTGGGTCTCCAACCCTAGTCCCAGGTCTAATTGAAACATAGTAGCCCCAACTCCGAGTATGCTTTGAAAAAATCGTAGCCAACGTATTCAACGATATATGGGTTAGAGGGACAGGCTTCCTTGAATGAAGTCAACATACTGTTGTGGCACATAAACATTCTTGTTCTTTATTTTCTCTCCACTACGCTGTGTACTGAATCCACCTCCATTTGAGTATGGCCTTTTTCGAGGATCTTTTGTGTGATTTCAAGGTCAAGAGTCATAGCCAAGTGACATAAAGTGTTTGACATTACCAAGTTCCTATTTTGATAGGTACATCCATCACTATATATAATGATGTGTTTGATTTCTTCATCTTTGGAAATCATTTTTTCAATGTAGTCAGCCAAGCAAGAAGCAAAGGAATTAGCCGAAAGATCCCCCATTCCTTCATGCCAAAAGTAGCAGGTCGCCTGCTTCGTTATAAGGTCATACAAAGTGAAATTATGGCATGCTAATTTGGTTTTATAATACAATGCGCTTGCATTCATTTTTGGCGAAAGTAGAACTGCTTGTACGTCCATTGTAAGAACTTTCACTGAGTGGTTTGTTTGACAAAATAACTTGTCACGGTTTTTCTCCTCTCGTGAATTTATTTTTCTATTCTGATGTTCGTTGTAAATATCAGCGGATATATTACCTGCATCAAAACCTACACAGATATCACACTGGTCCTTTTTTTGGCACAAATAGACCAATATTTAGGCTCTCGAAAACTTCGGTAAATACTCTACGACTCGCACATACCCTTTCATTACAATGTTTCACGTATTCTTTATACAAGCAGGTCAGAGAGTTAAATACAGGTTCAAGGTAGGTCTTCGAAGTCGATGAACGGCAATAATGAGATTCCATTCTAGGGATGCTTTCAAGAAATTGCTTGACACTCATACGTAGCTGGCCGTGTCTTTCTTCTTGAGCTTTCTTTCTTGTATCTGAAAAAGAAAGGCATCAAATATCTTTTATAAAGTGCTAACAACACATTTAATATTTCAGTCAATCACTCATTCACTTAAACTGATACTCATTCATATTGTAATTCACTCACTAACACACACACCAACTCACGCACTCTTACGCACGCACGCACTAATTTATTCATTCACACTCCACAAATTTATTCATTCACTAATTTAAAACTCACTTTTTTATATAGAGAAGAAATTGGGATTTAGAAAATTGTATTAAACATTTAAATGGCATGTTACTACCTGACTGCTTCTGCTTTTTCTCAGCTGATCTATCTGGTACACCCGATATTGACTGTTTCTATCCATTGATATACTGTCTGCTCCCCTAGTCCAAGAGTTGACAAAAATAGTTGTTTACATACGACAATACGCTCTTCATTAATTCTTAGATGGTATGTGAGGGTTCGAGTTCTTCTACTTGGTTTTCCATTTTCAAGTGTAGGTTCCTCCACTGCTTTAGCATTTATAAGCGAGTTTACATATACACGCCTTTCATCCCATGTTGTCATGTTTGTCCAAAAAATTAGTAAATATCTCTCTCCTATCTGCTTCTGTTACGGTTTTTGCAATTTTTTATATTAGAGGTTTGGCAGCGTGATGAACACCTTTTTTCAGACAACGTCCTTGCGGACTTTTCAACATGGAATCCCCACTTCCCATCCACTTTTTTTCATTCCTTTGTATGCATTCCCTGACATACGCAACTGTTTATTACGATGTCTCTGCCTTTCTCCTTTTCCATTTTGTTTATCATTTGCCTTTACAGATTCATTTTTCTACGGTTTCTTCATGATCAATATCGTCTTCCGATGGTGACGTGTATTCACCCTCTTCACTAGGATTATAATCTGGGTCATTTGCATCTTTGTCATTATTTATATCTTCATATTCTTCATTTTCTCCTAGATCCAAACATGTTTCATTTTCAACATTTGTTGTAATATCTTTTACACTATTTTTGTCTCTATTGTTTCCAATGAAAGAACTTTCACCTATGACAGAATATGCTTGTTGAAAGTATTCGTCAATCTCAGTTTCTTTACCACCAATCGATTCATCATTAACACCTGCTACAACACTGCCATTAAATTCATCCAATATAGTAACATTTTGACTCTTTGCAATTCAGAGAAATATCTAATTCACTATTTTGATCAGTTGCTGCATTGGAACGATCATCAAACACATTTACACTGTTATCAGCGTTTACAATTCCAACGATCTTTTCAATCTCAATGTCAGTCTCAGCATCTCCACTTTGAACAAATATTTCAAGTTCTATAAAATCTTTATATATTTCAGTGTTTGACACCGGTTCACTGTTATCTAAATTGGCGCATGACTCATTGTTTTCTGTTTTCATTGTTGATTCACTGTTTTCAGCACAGATAATCGAATCAATTTTGTTATAGATTACAGATTCACTGTTTTCTAAAGTAGATATTTGCTCACTATTTCCACCATTTAATAACTTGTTCAGTCCTTTCTGTATTAATATCTTGTGCCTTATAACACACAGATTCACTGTCTTCCACACACGTAGACCCGACTTCCATTGATTTCATTATTATATTCTGTTTCTGAAAAATTTGGTTTATTACAAATATTTGAAGGTGTCAACTCATTGTAGTTTTTGTTGTTATTATTTATGTCATGGTTAATACTCGTATCAGTCACTTGTTCTTGTTCCATAACCTTTATGAGTTTTAAAAGAGAATTCTGAACCACCATTTTCTTAGCTAACACACGGCTTTCCTTTTGATTGCTTTGAGCAAAAAAGTTACCATTGTTTTGCCCAGTGGTAACATATATTTGAAAAATAGTTAATAATTTACAATTTTTATCCCTGGCTCACAGACTGGACAGTGTATCCCACTTTCTTTCAATGTATCTAAATGTGAATAATTTAATGCTTCATCTGGAAATGTTGGATGAATACATAATAGATGAAAATACCGTTCACAGTCAGCGAACTGACATCGAACATAAAACTGCTGCCCATTTCTAAGAGAAATTAGATAAGGCCCAATGTCAACTACTTTTTCAAGAATATGAATTAAATCATTAATATCTGGTACAAACTGACAAATGTGACACTTATATTGTAAATATTCAGTTTCTCCCGTTGACTCGGTATCACTTTCTCCAGAATACTGTGACATTCCGCTTAACCGTATCTGAAAATAAAATTAAATCGCCATTATGATTCTAGATGAATTAAAACACTATTTTTAAGCTATTTCAAAACATCGTATTTCGATATAAAACGGGAAGAAAATGAAATACCAAATAATCGTATCTCGTAAAATCTCGTATCTTGATTGCTAGTATCTGAAAAATGAAATGACAAATTCTCGTATCTCGAAAAATTACATCAAACGTCAGAAATCGAACAAAAATTATCTTTAGCGAAAATTAATATCTTTATTTACGTTTAATTATTTCAAACATTAGTAACGATTGAAAGAATTATATACAGATAAGCAATGAAAATTAATGTATTTTCTCTATCAGCCGCAATAGGACACTTCTTTGAACAGATATGACTAAGCATATTTATTAAAACCTTAAAAAGTAGGTAATTTAGAAAGTACAAAAAATAGAATCTACTTAACTTACCGATTTGAATGTAAAAAACAATTTATCCAACGTTCTCCGTCAACATATTGTGAAATTTAAAAGATACGAGGTTTTGACAAAAACAACAAAATCATCCAATCGACACACGAGATTTTGTCAACGTGACAATTTTCGCCTTTTCCATTGGTGTAGAGCTACACTATTTTGGGAGACGGTGCGCTGGTATGTTTAAATTTTCGCGGCATCAAAAACCCATTTTGCTAAAAAACCGAGTTACGATATTTTGACCCCCCACCGACGATATATGATAGCAACTATATAAATGAAATAGTGTTTGTAGTATTTCATTATTTTAAAATTGCTTCAAAATTTTCAATGCAATTTTGACAAATTGACAAAGGCCAAAATTTAACATCTTATGTTTTGACGACTTTATATCTAAAGAAGAAATTCAAAAGTCACATGTGTTTTCAGAATAATGCAATTAAAAGAAATATACAATTACTACATTAAACAACACACAATTTTAAAAATAAACTGAGTGGCAAACTTCTTTTCCTTTTTACATGCGCTTGAAGAAGTTTATTTTGTCTTTTATAAGGTTCATAAAAAATGTATGGACAGTGTCCTGATACGTCATATTGCAGAGCAGATGTGATTTCGTATGTATGCGAAGTCATACAAAGTTAATAAACCGTTGCAGACATATTAATAAAAAACATTTGTTTCCTGCACAACGCGCTTTTATTATAATCTGGATAACGGTATCATTAAATATGTTTAAGTCACAGAACAATTAGCAACCCACACATACATATGTTAATACAGGCACGCGTGTCCTTATGCAATGTACACGTATGTGCATAATATGCACTTATTGCTTCACTTTAGGGTATAGTTTCAAGCCTTTATGTGTACACATAGGTGCGTGTGTCTATTTGTCTTATAAAATGTACACGTATGTGTATAATATGCACTAGTTACTTGCCTTTAGGATATATTTTCATATACGTTCTGCAGTAACACGATACACGAAAACGTACAAATCTGTATACACATCACTAGTAGCCGGTCACTTTTTTATATAACACAATTACAATTAAGCGTTCAAAACGGAACCAGTTTTCTTTTGTATGTCTTCAATCGAATATGACTTCATTTGCAACCGAAAATGTATAGGTATGTACTAAACGATAAAATACTATGATGCAACAATACATTCCAAATTTAAGCATGTCCTTTATTGCAATATAAATTTTCAGGGCTTCAATCACAAATAATTGCGGACCCTTCCCAGCCGGTATCCGTCCTTGTCTTGACCTATATGCGATCTGGTTCGAGCCTTACTGGTGATATTCTGCAACATAGTGAAGGTGCCTTTTATGTTTACGAGCCGTTTCGAACGCTTGGTCACAAAGATCCATCATCATTTACTTTAATGTATGCAAACGGCACTGTCAGGTATATATGCAAATGGACATTTTATACTTAGGAAAATGATTTATCCGTAGTATCTCTATTATTATAGAATATTTTAGTTGGGAGATGGGCTTTACAGATTGAATAGTGTTAATGCACCTTTCTTCCGTGCATTAACTTAGCATAAGCACAAAGACGAATCCAAAACCCGAGGTTTTTGATATAATCATAAGGCTCCTGCAGGTGTTAATGCACGAAATATAATAAGTGAGTGCTTTTATTGCATAAAAGTTTACGTTTGATGTTTAGTCATTACTTTTTAACATGACGCCTTGAATAACGCATATTAAAAACTTACAATAATGGCGCGTACTTGTGTGCACCGTATTACATGTTTTCTTCTCTGTTAATATAGCCCTGCTGCGTGCGCAGTAATTATGCAAGAATTACTGCTACTTTTCAATTTATACTTTTAAACAAACGCGTGGCTTATGTGAATCATAATATTTTAATAAGCCCATGACAAACCTGAAAAAAACCTTGGCATTCGATTCAGTTATACCATGCATACAATTACAAACATATTTTTATATTGGACTACTCTCTCACAAACATATCTATACTTATGTTATTGACTATCATCAACAAAACATGCAATTCCTTTACTGACAATATGATTATTAAAGACTTAACATTTTCATACAGATTCTAAATCAAAATTTGCATACACATTATGACAAAAAATATATTTGCCTTACAATTTCACTATAACATAGAGAGTTTTTGCCTTACTTTTAAGTCAAACAACAATTTCACTATAAGCACATAGAGAGAAATGCTGCAATTAAATCACACTTTCAAAATTTCAAATACACATGTCTATGAACAACCAAACATTCAAAAGGATATCTTACCAAAACGCTGTTACAACAACAGGGTGTTTTTTTCTATGCATACATGTACGACAAACATAATACAAGTAGCAAAGCAAATGTACATGTAATCCAATTATTTAATTGTTTTAAGAATGGCATTAACTGAAAGGGGAATTGTTGGAATCTCTTACCTCGAAATAATATTATCTGGAGTTAATATGACACCACAAGGGAAAAATGAATAAAAATCACATTATAATTTTATTTTCTATTTTTGTCATTTATAAGATTAAGTTAAAACCTATCCTTAACACAGAACAATTGTCTTCTAGTATGACTTTGTAAATGTACAAAATAGTTGTTCCAATACTAATACAAAAGATCAGAATTTTATGCGTTTACAATATGTTTAAATGAATGCCATAACCAGATGTGGAATTTATATAAACTTGAATTATGGGCATCATAATATTTTTTTCATAAGCGTAATATATTTCAAATAATTAATTCCAGGAGTTGAGTTTGAAGCTTTAAAAGCTTAAAAATAGATAACTGTCTTAATAATACTATATCAAATTATCTGAGAATGAAATAAGAAACTTTTCCAGCGTAAATCATAATATTAAACGAGGTTGAAAAAGAAATTGATTTTATATCAACAATGGATACTATACAAATATTGTCTAGATTGTTACACAATTAAAACAAAACCTAATAGCTGAAAAAACTCTATGTCTAGTATTTCTAGTTTATGCATGTTTCTTTGCTTTCTCTGTAATTTCTTTCTTAAAGCGGCACGCATCCAGATGTTAAATTGAATCTCTTAACTATACATATCCATAGCTTAGGAAATGTATAAATATTTACAATCTAGACGAAACTTTGAATGTATAACCGACTGGGGTTATAGCGATAGTTGCTAATTTTATCGCCATCTACACGTTACTTACACGTTATATATTTACACAAAGTCGTTCCTGTGGAACACTTAATGTCTAATACAAGATAAAATCGCTTACTGGTAATTTATGTCATTCTCAAAAAATTTTACTTTAATATTGAAACAAATTCTAAGCTTCCAAAAAAGCAAACAAGGAGGCGTGCTGCTTTGTTACTGTAAAGGTAATAGGTATTATCTGGTATACATTATATCTCTATTAATAGTGTTGATAAAAACAGCTTTTTTCTTTTTCATACTGTTCAAAGTTTCTATGTCAAAAATCTTGAAACTTTATCATTTATTTCCATTTCAGTAGATAGCAAACTTTAAACATCTTCTTCTGGCTTTTTTCTATTTCTATAAATAGAATCCAAGATGGTGGATAGGGATAATCGACCTAAATATATACTCATAGTAACGTACATGCGCAGTGGCTCAAGCTTGACAGGTGATATCTTGCAACAAGCAAAAGGGTCTTTCTACGTGTATGAACCATTACATATGATTGAAAAAGCCATAATTCATACGTTTAGAATGGCCCAACCTGATGGTGGCGTCAGGTAAAACACAATGCGTTTTGATTCCAGCTATAATTAAAGGTTTTGTTTTACTATCTTGATCATGATCTTGTATATGCAAGAGAAAAGAAAGAACAAACATGTATACATGTATGTATGTACGAGTGCACCCATTTGTTGCCTAATATATGGCATGCATTAAGTGCCAACCTTGTAGTTATATTTCTTCAGTAAAAAACTTGTATATTAACGTTTATTTATAGTCTCTATCGAAAACAAATATGAGAGGCTTAGTGAAGGAGATAGGATAGGGCAACGGATAAAGAAATTGGTATGCACCAAGTGTCACAATTGGTTCTTACAAATCGACGAATAAAGCAATTTTTCATCCTACATCGATTTTGAAAGTCTTATCTGAATATTTGTTTGAAATTTCATTTTGACTTAAAGGGAATCGAACTCACAAACATTGACATTTTTAGTCAAACAGAAACACATTAGCTCTTTCTCTCCAATATCAACTTTTAATTGATCTTTTAGATTTTAGATGCATGTTTGGATACACTACATCCAGTCAGTAATTTGATAGATACATACTCTGATCTTAAATTTGAATGGATTTAACCACAAGCATTGACATGTGTTCTTATGTTAACAAATGGGTTGTGGTGAAATTTTTATTGTAGTGCACTTGTATGATAATTAGAATTAGACAGGTTATGGTCATATACGGCTCGTTAAGACTATAATCTTTTTTTTTCCGTCTTCGTCAATAACTGCCATTTGCAACTTCGACATTCGATATTGGTTTGGACAACTATTCAAATGTACAAACTAGATATAGTTGAACTAATGTGGTAAGATATTTTATCGAAGAGCATACATTAATATTTCAAAATTTTGTGACATTTTCATGTTTTGCTACAACTGCAATTATACTGAACATATGTTCCTAATAGTTTCTCTTGGATGTGCTTTCATGAAAGTTACATAAAATGTTTTAAATAATTGGCTTACAATTTTTAAAACTTCTCATTTATGAAAAAAATAATACGCAATTTGCAAAATAAAACTAAAACAAAAATAAATGAATAAAACTGTTTCGTTATTTTACAAATCTAATTATTATCTATAACGTTTATTCAATATGATATACTTTAAGAGGACATGATATTCAAGTTTCTTACCTAATATCGTAAATTGCTACATAATGTTTTAGGAGTCACGCACAGTCTACCAGTTGTGAAAATTATCAGAAAAAGCCTAACTGTGATCAAGTGAAATCTATTACTTTAAAGGGATAATCAAAAGACATTCTGATAAAATTGTCTGGCATACAGATTGACAATGAAAATCTCAAAGAAACTTATGAAAAAAATCTATCCACAGATAAAGTAATGAACAAATACATGTACGTACATGCAAAGTAAAAAAAGTAAATGTGCCATTGTACTGAGCAATAGCATAAGGCATTGCGATTTTTGAGCAATAGCGTTTTAAATATCAAATTAGAAATAATGTTCTTATTTTGCATTTTGACTTTTATTATGTGTACAATTGATGCATATATTAAATGCTTCTGTACTTATTGGACAAGTCTTGAATAAACTGTTTGTTTTAGTCTATTGTTCTCTGTTATCATTTCTGTACAAAAATGGCAACATCAATGTATATCAGGAGAAGTATTGGTATAAATAACAATAACATGGACGAAATAATCATTTATCGGTGACAAAGTCACAAGCAAGTCTTGAGGAAGAAACGGAAATACAGTACGAAGACATAGTGCTATGTAATATGATATGATAAACTGTAGTCTGTCGTCAGAATATTTCTTGCTAGTCCTTGCAGTTAAACATGTACTTGAGCATGCAATTGTTAATTCATAAAACTAAATAAACAGTATGATATTGCAAATTTAATAGGAAATTTCCATAATTTTAGACTAAATGATCAATATCAACAACTTGTATATTAAGTAGTGATATTAAATGGGGTATTACATGTATTACATTTGATTTTCTAGGGAACAGGCACTATCACGAAACCTTCTTAGTAATTTAATTAAATTTACAAGCAACCCTACCTATTTCATATTTGGAAAATGTACATTTTTAAGAATATTTAGATAGATACGTATTCTTATGCCGTGCCTTATTGTTTTAGTACAAAAAAAAAACGGATGATAAAGATGTGTATTTCTTGTTACAAAATCACTTTTATTCATGGGCTGTTTGGGATTATTCTGTTACCACCATACTTATATCAATATATACGTGTGTATTTATCTATATATCTTTTATAGAATAGAGATATTCCTTGATATTGTTATAACTTTGTCCATTTATCTTTACGTTTTGTTTTATATATACATGTATCATAATATCATGTTTTGTTTGATCTTCTCTTATATTAATATAATATCACATATAATATAGAGTTTACTTATTTTTAAATAAATATTTATATTCAAATAAATATAATTCACATACCATGTACAAAATACTATTATTACTTGTATTGTCTTCTTTTCTAATATATGTACATTGGTATATTTAGATATATTGGATATATAGCATTTTCAATGTGCAAACTTTAGACATATGTTCAACATAAATAGTTTTATTAGCTCTTCAAATCTTATGACCATTATAAACAATTATTTATTTGAACCATGTCTCTTGTTTGATTTATGATCTGGTAACATATGTTTCAACATATTTCTTATCAAATTTAATGCTTTGTTTTCATCATAATGCAGTAGCATGTTTAATATTTCTGATTATTGTTATTTGTATAACAGATGACAAGCATTTCCAGACTTTGACTTCTAGTTTATTGTTTTTTTTAATATTTTGACATCAATACCCTCCATATTTACCAGTTTATATATGGACATGTCCATTTAGACATGGCTAGCTTCTTACAAGTTAAGACTATATTCCATGCAATTCTAATGTTCGGTAATAAATAATAGGAGGAAATATGCGCCAACAATAGTTGCCATACTGTTCTGTTTAATTTGAAATAATGAAGCTTGTCAAATTCTGATTTCCTCTGCTAATTCGAATATAATTTACGTTCATAAAAAGTGCATGTAACAAAAAGCATGCAACGGATAATTACAATGTTTCCTAAATACACATCTGCATATTTGGCAATTTAGGTTGATTCTAGACATTTCCATATGTAAAGCAGAAATACATTATAAGTGTCAAAAGTAGTATACAATTATTATATTTGAGACATAATCAAAATGAGTGTCATTTTTTTTTCCTTGGCACTCTTGCTCATATGAGTGCGACTACAATGTATGATGATTGTAAATCAGTTTTCAAAGAATCATAAAGGGCTTTATCTTTACACTATTAACGCATTGTTCAAACCGCATTTGATAAGAAACAGTGATATCATTATGACCATATAAATAATTGGAGTTATTTTCATTATTACAGGAATCCACCATTTTCATTCAAAGAAGAAACATATAATGCATTGTATAACTGGTTTACATGTAACATAAGCAGACTGACGAACATTGGACTTATGGATCCTTTTCTAAGTATCATCTTTTAACATTTCATTAGATTTGAATTTTATTCTGTCATTTTTAATATATGAATAGAATACCAACAATTCAATATGTAATGTTCATACGAAAATATTCTGAATGTGGCATGACTTTCAGAAATATTTTGCTTCCTAAACAAATTTTGTATGAAACTGACATATGCGATAAATCTTGTCCAATATATTTTTGGGACACTCACAATTTCAGCAGCATCAATGTGGTATTTCATATCATATATTGTTTTTCTTATTTCTTTTTAACATAAGATGGATATTTCACCAATTCTTGTACATCGTTTCATTTCTTACCCTATGTCAATGATTTAGTGGTCTCGCTCTGCTTTGAGAATAGATTTCTACCAGTTATTGATTTTTTTGCTATACTATAAATTTGCTATATAAATTTAAAGCATCATTTGTTTATTTGTTGATAAAGTTAAAAGTTTAAAACAAGAAAATATACAAATAAAGTTTCTTGTGCTTGGTATGTATGAAAATTGCATTGAATAACAATTTGACATTTAGAATCCGTCTAGACGCTGATATGATGTTCCAGTACAAACTTAAAGTACCTAAAAGTCATGTTTGTTAATTTTTTAATTACACATGATGCTTTAATTTATATGACATAAAGACGCAAGTCACATACGTAATAAATAAAAAAATAACAAAACAGTTTCGCTACATGAGCATTTTAAAGACTAGACTCTAGTGGAAATAGGCGAAGGTATCATTAACGGTATAATTATATTATAAGTTTGCTACATCTCTTATGTTTTTTATGTAAACATTTTGCTACATATTTTGCAGATAAAGGCTTAAAGTCAAAGATGTTCCCGATATGTTACAAAGCGGAAATGCGGAAAGGAAACAACCAGGGTATGGCAATACGAATGTGTGCAAGAGAACTACAGGGCATCTGTGAAAGATCCCCATTCAGAATAATCAAAACGATTCGATTACAGCTTAATGATGTAAAGAACTTATTAGAAGACTTGCCAAACCTTAAGATAGTACATCTAGTACGAGATCCACGAGCAACATTATCATCTCAGTCCAAGTTGGGAATGTGCTCCAGCATGAGAGGGGGTCTACATGGATGCACCAATAAGTATTGTAAAAGGTTAGAAAACGATGTTTTAGCTGAAGAACGCATAATGCAACAATATCCGAACAGGATCATGCCAGTATTTTATGAGGATATAGCAAGGCATCCTCTAGGGACCTCACAGAAACTTTTTGATTTTATAGGAGCTGATTTTACCATAGAAGCTGAAGCCTATATTTACAACATAACGATGGCAGGATTAGCTAATGACTGTTTAATATGTACAACACGATCCAACTCATCTGAACACGTCGACTCTTGGAAAACTACGATGAGGCCAGAATTTATCAATATTGTAAATGAAAGATGCAACTATGTTTTAAAACGTTATAATTTTGATGAATTTCCAATAGAGAAACAGTAAAGAAGCAATAGTTCATGTACGCTTTTGCGTTTTAGGCAAAATGCTATAAACAAAATATTGATTTCGGTATGCAACAACAATGCTAGTTTTTAAAGACTGACTCAATAAAACCAAGTCTGCAATTTTCTTGTGAGTTGCTTCCGAGAGATAAAAAAACTACAAAAACAAAACAACAACTAAAAAACAAGATGTTAAGATATGAAATATCACGGTGAAGGTAAAACAAGTTTGAATTACGTCATCATGGTTCAAATTAATGTCATGAGAATTTATGTACATTAATATGTTTTGCTGTCAACTGTAAATGTATATATTTGTAACTTTTTTGGCACTGGCGAAAATTGGATTCTTATTGTCGCCATTAACACAAATTGAGTAGATCTTAACGTAATTGGTAGTCAATGAAAAAATCCGTCACCTCCAACCTCCAATAAAAAAAAGCTTGTTCCAAACTTAGTTTGGGAAGAGCACGTTGTCGAATTCAGATGCGTTAAAAAAACCTTTCGTTCGGCAGACCCTGTAATGTCTGCCTTATCGTTACGATTGACACCTGAGATAGTAAAAACACGAGCCTGTTATTTCGGGTATTTTGTTAAATGTATCACTTGGTTGCATGGAATCTGAGTATATTTTTCAATGCAAAATGTTTGCTTATTTAGTTTCAAAGTTCACGATTGTTAAATATTTGATTATTATCAGAGTTTTGTGTAACGTGTTAGTACATGAAGGATAAAACTTATAAAAGCAAAAGTTCCCGAAATGTACATTTACTAAACGCGTTTTATTTGCTTATTTGATTGGAACACTATTCCCTCCTACTCCATTAAGGCATTATGTCAGTTATCAGCAGTCTTACGAAGTTTATTATCAATTGTCATGTAACTAGACAATAAAAAAACGTTTACAAAAATCATATAACTTTTACTTTTCACCCTTCTTGTATGTACACACTAGCAAAATTCAAACTTAAGTCTGAAAACTTATAATTAAAAAATAAACCGGCTGCCCAAATCTATGCAAGAGTCGGCTAGGTATTCGTCCAAAATAGATTCATCCGGTGTTTACTCCAATAAAATTCAATAATGAAAGCACAGTGTTTTTTTTTATTTAGTTATGTACTCAACAAACTATTATAGCATCAATGTATTGCATGCGTTTGCTAAAATATAAATAACAATACGTCTGGCTCATTGAAGTTTATTTCACATTGTAAAATGTTCAATCACACACATGACATTACAATCTTAAAGAACAAAAAATATTTCTAATAAAAGAACTATTGAAAAAAAATATCATTCAGTATTGGTATGAAATTACTTGTGACGCAATTAAGACATACCATCAAAACAAACTCAAAACTGCAAAAATGTCAATTCAAATAGATCTAGAATTTGGCACGATAATAATACATAATGCATAGGCAACTCACACACAACAACCCCGAGTTTTCAGTAGTAAAATTCAATTTGATACTTTTATAGATATTGCCGCTAAGATAGTAAGTGAACTATTAAATGAAATATTGAAATATAAAATGACCCTTCCAGTGAGACTCAGAACCCTTAGCCCACTGAACCTTCATACTCTACCAATGCTACACATTCAGCCAAAGACCAACCGGCACATCTGAACCGTGCCATTTGATCTGGACATGCACTGTTCACTATTCAGTCAAAACTTTTTTTTGAAATAAAGTTTCCTTTAAAATTATGTTTTTTGTCCAGATAGAAAAATGAACGTGTCCATTTCAGATGATTAGCGGGGTAAGAGTAAAATAAAAACATGGCAAGAAATTTGGATCCTACTGCAAATATTTGAACATAATTGAATCACTTAAAGTGTATGTGTTCATTTGTGTATTTTTGTTGATTTATTAAGTTTTGAATTGTATTTAAAAGAACAACAAATTGTTGCGTAGATAATGTGTTTTGTATTGGCATTTATATTTCAACGCAGATCTTCATCGTCCGAATCGAGAAGGATCTTGTCTGAACCGAATTGTGACGTGGTTGGCGTTCCTGATTCTAGGAAATCTTGATACTGATATGGCGTGACGTCAGCTCGCTGTCGTGAAAATGATGGCAAAGGTCGAATATACTCCGATGTCATTTGAATTTCAGGTGCCTAAAATAGTAAAATTTATCTTATAATTCAATATGATACAGTAGTCAAACAAACAGCAAGCATATAGTGAAGAAATGCATTAATATCTGTTACAATTGAAATTAATAAGAAACTGCCTTGCTTAAAGTCTGTCCTCTGACGTCATTTATTATTTGATTGACATATCAAATGATTAAACTATAGTGTATGCTGATAAATATCTATAAAAACATATGCAATAAAAATATGGTAAAAAGTATCTACTGGTTGTCGATTATGTATAGGTGTAAGAGCTCTTGGTCGAATCTGCGGTGACTCATATTGTGATAATTGTGCAGGCGGTCGGCCCCTTCTTGAACCTCCATTCTTGCGGCGAGATCGTGGAGGTGTTGGCGTCACAGGGGCAGTTACTGTGAAATCAGGCATACTCCTGCCGTTTTCTTTTCCTGTAAACCGGGTAGATTCTGACAATACTGAAAATGCTCTTTCCGAAACAGGCTTTTCAATAGTATGGTCAAGTTCTGACCCAACTTCCGATGCACGGCCATTGGAAATGTATGTATGCTTTTTGTGAACTCTAAATGAAAATAAAGAAAACATGACAATGTCAATATGATAGAACGCAATAAATCTGAGAATGTATTCATGTGTGAAAAATGTATATGAATTAGTTAGCAAAACAAGACAATATTTTATAAGAAAATGAAGGGCTACATTATATGGTTTTGTTTCACATAAATGTTCTATTATAAATAAAGCACATGTATTTATAAACAGGTAACCAACTATTTTTTGCTCGCTTAATGTTGATGATAACATGGCAGTTAGTGAAACAGTCGTTCAGGATAAGATAGGAAAATAAACGTGATCGTACTAACCAATAAGTTAGCAAGTAATTACCTTTTTTAACTTAACAAGTATATACTTTCCATGAAATTAACAAATAAAAACTTTCATTTAACCAGTATATACTTTCTATTTAGTTAAAAAATATATGCTTTTGATAAAAAATAACCAGTACATATTTTCGTTTAAGTTAACCAGAACATACCTACCATTAAATTTACAAGTGAATGCCTTTTATTAAGTTAAAAAGTATATACGTTCGTCAAGTCAAAACGTACTCGTATGTACTTTCCATTAAGCTAAAATATTCACGTTCCATAAAGTTAACAAGTATTTGTATATACGCTCAATGAAGTACGTATACAAGTATAAAATCCATTAAGTTTAAATGTATATGTGTTAACTTTAAGTCAGCAAGTATTTACATTCAAGCAAATTACCAAAGTATAAAGTTAATATTCTAATAAGTTACAAGTATATATAAGTACATAAAACTATGTTCCATTAAGTTAATATGTATACATGTTCCTTTAAATAAACATGTACATACGTTCCATTAAGTTTCTCCATAAACACAGGAACCTGTATGGATATGTCATCACGGATGCTAACACTGTCATCGGGTGTTCTCGGCTCCGGATAAATTGGCATTTTGTCAATGGTTTTCTCTTTGTTCTCACGGAGATCCGACAAACGGTAATTAAGATATTTCATATTTGTTTCACCATACCTTTAAAGTCAAGAATGGTCTTACAATTTCATGGTAGGGTGTAAACGAGTATACTATAAATATTTAGTAGTATGAAAAATGCAATCTGTCAATATTTACGAAATATTGGACCTTTGAGAATTTGAAATTCACTGATAATGTTTGGTAATAAAATAATTGAAATATATTAAATATGGACAGACATACTGCTAACATGAGATTAAAAGAAACACTAACAAAATGCATGCGTAATGAATTGAATATGTTTGCATAAACAGTGTAACGATAAATTAGGAGAAAATGGTAATATTAATACGGATCACTCTGCATGATAGTATGTTACCTCACTATGATATGGTAAACAAAATCATTGACATCTTATCGGTTGTGTTTTTTAAAGTATCATAAAGTTAGGAGATGCGTAACATACTTTTCTTGATGACTCACAAAGTGATGTAATAACCAAAAGATGCGAAAAAAGAGGTTTAACAAATCAAATCAAATTGCTACTTTATAAATGACAAACCAATGGTCAGTTTGACATAAACAAATCAGACATTTATATAGTAATTCTAACTTACTTGTATACGTGTTTATACGGCGCTCCTGTTGGTGCAATTTTCTTTTCTTTTGCAAAGCACGGAACTTTAAAATATCAATATTTAAAACTAAAGTAAAATTCTAGGCTCATAACATATTTTGATATTTTGATAATGACAGGCCAACTTTTGTTTAAAGAATTAACTGTTGAAATTTACTTGATGAAATATTAAATGACGAAAAAAGAAAACACATGAGCACTTTCAGAGAACAAATGATGGGCCAATACATGCTACAAATTCTAATTTCAGACGAATCAATCCAAACAGCTCGACAACTTGAAAACGTGTAACTTATTTTGTCTGAATTGGATCAAACTATATCACAAATCAGTTTTTTTTCTCATAAAGATTCTTTTTTACTGTAACAAGATCTATGCAAGACAAGATAGAAATAATAATAAATTCTTGCAAATAAAAATGTATACTGAAGATAATTACCTGCTCAAATTCTAATTGCTTATATTTCAGAAAAAAAGGTAATTGAGAAAGGACAGTTCTTAATTCATAACCAGATAAATGTGTTATAAGACCATACAAAACTAAGTGAGATATACTGTATGTAAAACAAAGTTACTTACGTCGTTTTGTGAGACACAGGAACACACAAATGGCTATGATAAGAAGGGCGATGAGAACAGATATAACAATAGCTGCAATAACACCTGCTGATAAGCTACTGCCTTCCTTACTTTCACCAGTCGCTGTGACAAAAAGAACAACACAAGAATAAGACTCAATTAAATAGTTCATATGTAAAAGCTTAAGAATACATAGTTTATGCTTTTCGGATATGGTTGACATCCCCTCTTGTAAGTAAGACAAGTTTTTTTGTGCTTTAAATTAGTCATTCCCGCGAGCCTTTATGAACAAATCGCTCCTTGGGGGTAGTCCTGTGTTACTGGAACGTGTGGGGATTGCGTTCATTGAACGCTGCCCAACCATGATGGTCTTGTTTTTCAGATGTTTTCTAAAAAGGGGGATGTCAGTTGTATTTTTCAACCACATGTGTATACAGCAGTGTGTATTTTTATATCCGAATCCAAAATGACTATAGTTTTCAGAAGATAAGTCAAAGGAACTAATATAATTTGTAATAATAAAATAGGAAATACATGTACCTGGTAGAGTAGAAACAGTAGTTGTAGTCGTCAATGAAGCGAAAGCTGAAATATAGATTACAGTAAAAACATTTTATTCCAAAAGTTCATGTTATTCTGTTCTTTTTGTAATATCATTAAAATTCTACAGTCTTCAAAACATTATGATATATCATAGAAATAACAACACCAGGAACTTGTTGATTTGACGAGCACAACACTCTGATTGTCTTGAAAAAGACTTAGGTATGTCTGATTGTTATTAAATTGATCCTGTTGTAAACAGTATTAAACTTCAGGCAAACAACACTACAAATGTCTACATTATAATTATAAAGTATACATATAAAGTAATTCATATGGATGCTCTGAAACTTGACTGTCATGGTATTTTATCAATGCAGTTCTTGCCCTATATTCCCATTAAAATATAAACAATTTCAGATTAGGATAATGTCCTCTGTACGAGTATATCGGTCTTTTAGGGGATAAGCGATTAAATTTCCAATATAAAATCCTCCGAGGAAATAAACAGAACATAACTCAGTTATTATGATTGTGTGTCCCATAAATGCCGTAAGAGCTGTGCAACAACTGCCTCGACAAATCTATCTTTCAGTTAATAGAGCATTAGATACTCAGCCAAGCATTATTGGTGGGTTCTATACCAAACTGTGAAATTATTCCTGCATAGCATTACGTTGTTATGAGAAAGGCAGGGGATTTATTACAGATGGTAATGATATATATACCAAAGAGTGACTTTTACTCTCGTATAACATTACGTTGTTATGAGAAAAGAAAGAAATTCATTAGAGATGTTAGTAATAAAAGAAAATCATACATAAGCAGCTCCCGGATTCTACACTGCCTTCAGACAGTGTTGTATCTGTGATAGCACATGGTGTACAATATGATGATCCTATGACGTCATTAAATAGACCAACGGGACACGACTCGCATGCTCTGCTGGATGAGTTGTAAAACTTCCCAAAGAAACAAGAAGCTGCAAAAATGAATAAATGATTTACACAATTCAATAATAGGAATACACCAATTATAGTAAAACCACTAAAAAGCTACAAATCTTGACAATTTTCCTCAATTGAAACAAAACTTCTAAACAAGTGGCGTAAACACTACCGGAATATTTTGTAGATACTTTACTAAAGTTAAATTTATCATAACAGTATGTTTTTAATTTCTGGTGAATCTATGTGAAAAAAGTAGTTACTTTTCTTTCTCAAAAGATCAAAAGATAAAAAGAAAAAAGGATATGATTAAAACGACAGTAGCAATTTTGGCGTACAAATGGCGACATCAATAATTTAGTAAAACGTAAGTTCATCAATTAAATAATTATACTTATCTCAACGGCAATCACTTTCTAGTGTGCCTTTGTTTGTTTAGTATCACAACCGGAGTATAACATAAATTATGTAATATAAACTTACAATGACAATAGCCACTGTCTGGTGAACCTGTATTTGTTGTTGTATCACTACCGGAGCATGATGTACAGCTTGAAAGGATCGGAGTGCTCGCGCCGACTGTTCTGTATGTTCCTTTTGGACATCGAATACACCTTGAACTTGTACTATCATAGTAAGTTCCGCTACCACATTTTACTGAAACATCATGATAATTGTGACTTAAAGACCTACTTAAACGGTATAAAGCTATATTCCATGCTTTCTTTTATAAAATGCATAAACGTTTAAACTATTTAGTTTCTTTATTCTTATTGTCGACGAAAAGTGTTTTAACATAGAAAGTCTATGCTATTTAAACACATTAATATTACACTAAGCAGAATACAATGTTCCTGAACAAAACATTATATTGCCTGTTTAAGCATGGATCTGATCGATTTCATGCATGTGGCGTTTGCTCTTAATGAAAAATATTTCATTCCGGAATACTAGAATTATTCTTTTTCAAAATTCAAATAATAATTTTACTACAGGCAGCAAATATATAACTTATCTTAAAGAAAAATTAGGTCCTTCATGTATATTTACTTTAATACAAATAAATGCTGGTAAAGATTCTAAATATGCTTCTGTTTTCATTGTAACATTAATAAAATTATTTTATTTCTTGGTCATATGTAAAAAGCATGTAGTTTTTGATATTCAAGGCTACAGTAAGCGACTGTGGGAGGCACTGCATGTATTTGGAATAATGAAAATAATAGTAGATAAAAATATTTATAAAGCAAAATATGATAAAATGTACAAATCAAACCAATTTCATAAAACTCCACTGACTTGAAAAGTAAACATTTATGCTGCAATATACTTAGACTTTGTTAAAAACCAGAAAAAGGCAGTAAAATCATCATGGAAACAAATAAAAACAGTCAAAATGAAAATACTTTCTAATAGCAATGGCAAAACTTCAGTTTTGGTGTGACTAATTGTCTTACCACATTCTGTTTCTAAAAGGTGACTTCCAGGTGGGCATGTCATTGTTGATTCCACCACATATGATGATAGAACTGGTAATACATCCTTCAAACAAAATATGAACGTTTTGAACATAATCTATCTCAATTATTCAATACATTTTGTAAATAAAAATCAAACATTTATTATGTAGACAAAGTAATTAGTCTTTCAAGAAGATAACACCGTAAACAAATAATGTTACTTTATTGTTACTTAATATGAAACACCTAATTTAAAACCACTGATGTTATTTTTACGTAAAATAAACGGACTGAAGTTATGGTTGATATTCAATTAACTATGTGCAAGAAAATTAGAAACAGGTATTCAGAGGAGTAAGTGTTAAATATCTACAAACCGGCGCAAAGGAGAACATCATTTCATCTATTGCCGAAATCTTGAAAGCGCCTTCCAGTGATACCGTGTTCGTACCATCACTTACAGTAGCTCTAAAAACATATAAAGAACCATAGCTTATCATATACTTTATTTTTCTATCGCATTGAGATTATCATGAGATATTACACCAATTTTTGTGTAACAGCACGAAGACAAGAGGACACATTTAACGCATGCGCCTAAAGGGCATGAGAAATATTATTATCCGAGGGTTTCTGCAAATGTTAATGCAATATATAATGCTTATTCGGAAATTTTGCACATCGTCATGTGATTTTCGCGTAAAGAAATTGCATATTGAAATATGCAAAAATGGCTCGTGCTCAAGTGATTCTATTTGTAAATGCAGACTTTCTTTTCCGTCAATGTAGCCCTTCGTGCGATTTTATGCAAGATTAAAGGTAATTACAGTTGTACTTTTTTAAAACAAAATTACTGTTATAACATGATCTTGGTCTTGGAAATATTCATTATTTCTATAAAAATAAAAATTTCAAAACATTTAATAAAAAGTTTATCTTTTCCATGAATTTATCCACAATCGGGAAGTAAGGACAAACAGCACCCTAACATAAACTAAATATTTAACTATATACTTTTAATTGGCGTCTAGAAGGCACTTTATTAAAACGCAAAATAAGATTAATTGATTTCTCGAACACGGAAAGAAAAGTCTTTTCGTTGTTTTTTCAAATTTTGAAGATAAAAAAACAAACAATATTTTAAACAGGCGCATGTAAAAAATCATTGCTAAACAGTTAAATCTTTGCTTTAAATAGCAGCATAATATTTTGTTTCGGGAAATTTTATTATATTTACGTACAACGTTCATTTATTTTTAATAACAGAGACATTTAAATATGGTTCAACTCTTCCGAGAATCGACTATTAGATTATGAAAACAACATTATTTTACCGATAACTAAATTATAATAATATTTCAGATATCGCTTTATACTCTTACTGCATAATTACATTTTGTTTAATCGATTGTTTTTTTATTATTCTACAATTACACTTTTTGATAGATTAAGGTACTTACGGTGTGTTTGTAAAGGTGACATTCACTGACGCCTCCGAATTACTTATACAGTCTACAGATATTTCTACCGTATCACAATTATCATCGTTGCCTCCTTGATCCGTCTTGCACATACCAAGTCTCCAATGTGAATTCATCTCCACAATTCTTGACCTCAAGTTTGAAAGCAAAACAGCCTTCTGTAACTGGCAATTGACTAACGTATACTCAACGTGTACGATCAAATTATTCGAACCTTCCCATACAGCTTGAAATATCATAACACAAACAATTACAACAAATATACGAAGATTTTGTCAAAGTTTGGATTTAAGATTAATAATCTATACAAAAATCGTTCTACTGGGATTAATTTCTCAAACAATTTTAATACTTGATATTTATACCGTGAATTTGTTTCCAGAAATAGAAAAAGAACACTATTTAAATGTTATACTTGTCATTCAATATGTTGATTGCCTATTAATAATTGACCGTTAATACAAAATTGCAAAACAGCGTACCAAAATTGATTTGCCGCTAATTAAATTATCTTTACCAATCTATTAACTAATCTAATAACCATGCCATATTATGCAAAGACATACGAGCGCAAGATGGGTAAAAGAACACGCCAGTTTTGTCATTTCCGTCCCACATTCCGTATTTACTGCACGTGTAGTATTTCGTAATTTCTTGAGAAACCGAGTATCCGCTTTGTCTGCACGATATTTTGCATCTTCTACCTTCACCATAGCTTGCGTCTGCACAATCATGTAATAAGTCTGCTGGTATGCTAGGGTCATAACATTCTTTGTCTATGAATTGAAAGCAATCAAAAAAATAATAAACCTATTATGAGTGTTTGGATCAATGTTCATGTTTTACCTTCATAATGACATTAAACCAGACCAGGGAGCACATATAATGAGTGACACTGTCAGGTTTAAAACATCAAGTGACCTTTTTTATAAACACCTAAAATTCAAATACCATAGGAATAATCGGGTTAATGTTCTTGTCATAATTTATCCCGATAACTGTAAACCCAACTTTAGAAAATGATAAAAAATATAGATTAAATGTCATGAAGAAAACCGGAAGAGTGGCCAATTGGTAAGAACATAGGTCTGATACGATAAAGATCGCTGTCTGAGTGGGTTCAAATCCTGTGTGGGACGAGCTTATGTTTCCTTCAGCAAATATGTAAATGATAATTTTAATAAACTTATGTAGATATCTTCTGTACAAGTATTATGACATTTTATGTTTAAAATCAGAAATTCTTTATACAGCAAACAAGTAACAAACTTATCTTTAGGAAGAAGTGTAAAATTACAACACTAACTTGTTTTAAAGAGTCGGAACATGCATACTGCAGCATGTCTGTCGCTAGAATACTCCACTATACCTATACCGTGTACACCCCAGTCAATGTCTGTCTCTGTAAATATATTATATACATTAGTATTAGCGTGATATGTATGTTAATATTGTAATGCAAGAATGCATCATGTATTGATTTCATGCTTACCAAACCATCATTAAAATTTCAATTTCTGCGTTGAGGCTGGAAACCGATTATTTGGGTCAGTGTTCTGGATCCTTTATTATTTCCTTTTTGTCGCGAGTTCGAATCCCGCAACGGTTGGTATTTCATTTACATGCGTAACAGTTTTGAAATCTTCGTAAGATTATTTAAACAGTCTTATTGAATAAAAAAGTAAGAATTATTAATTTCATACCTATGAAATATAGTGTGAATAAACTTTTTAAAGGTCCCTTTCATCCCTTTGGTATATTTAGAAATCCCAGACTGTAGTTCTACCTTACTTAGCTATAACTATACAAACTGTGGGTAACAAAATCATCAATGTTGTGTTTTTATTATATTTTGACAACCGTTGGAACCGTCTTTTATTCAAAATTAGCCACGAACAAATAAAAATTGTCAAAGTGTAATTACCACCAGGAATAGCATTTGTTGTTCTGGTGTCTGAGTTTGTTTGTAGAAATGTTACAGAGGAGTCATCCCACAATGGTCTGCTAATCCTAGATGAATTGACTACATGTATATCACGTGGGCAACTTTGAACTTGAGGAAATGCCGATCCTAAATAAAAAAAAATAAAGTCATTATTAATTTATAAAAATGCAACGAAGTGATCTAAAATAATAATTTAATAATTTTCTTGTAAATATCGGAATATTTATTTGCATTTTCCTTTGCATCTCATTAAAGATTACACAATCATAGGTCGATTTGACTAAGGCTTTTAATTAAATCAAAACTTTTCAAATAAATGCATTCAAAATCAATTTTGAATAGAATACAGAGTAATAAATCATACATAGTGCTGACTGGAATATCGTAAACTTCTCAATCAGACTTCTTTTTTACAAAATACACAGTTGTCTTTTTACAAAATACTTTTAAGTATTGAAACATTTCTCTCTTCAGTAAAGCTATTAATTTGTATGATTGCTATTTGGTTCCTGGTCTCATTATTTATCTAGTTTAGGCACCAATTTATCGTAGGTATCGGCATGAAACAATACATTGTTTTCAAGGATTTCATATTAAAATTAAAAGGCTTTTTCTTTTGTTTGGTTTCAATTTATATCAACATTATTCAAAATCAAAATATAGCGGCTGTCTAGCTTAACCAGTGAATGAAGACCTCAGTTGTCGTTCTGTATATTAATTCAAGTACAAGCGGGCATCTGAATAGAACCACAGAAATTGGTAAAAGTTCCATAACTATTTATATACACATTTATCGAGTGAATGAATCATCACTACTCGCTGATAACTAATTGTCACAAATATTGGTAAGCGTCGGTATTTATCAGAAGTAAAGAGATCATTCACAACTTTTTTTTAAGTAATGCTACATATAATGAAAACGCGTGCAGAATAGAAAATGAATACAAAGACATGATATACCTTGGAACGCTCTGTCTGGACAGCTGGTATGTGATGTACAAATTTGATGAAATAGTTGACTGTTGTAATCTACAGAATGCAATATCTTCAATAATTCCTAGAAAAAAAAACATTATACACGATCAACTATCATATTGAACAAAGTATATTAGTTATACTGATATAAGTAATGTACGAGAGAGTGTCCTACTATTTTGAATATTGTGCAGAAATGTTAATGTATATATAAATATACATGCATATATGCAATATTTATGCCCTCCCTTCAAAGAAGTGGGGGTACATTGTGTATATTGCTTTGCATTTTTTTAATCAAACTTTTCCTAGTTTGGTTTTACGTCCCACCAACACAAGATCCGTAGAGGTCATATGGCGACTTTTCAGCTTAACTGGTGGAGGAAGACCCAATATGCAAAGGTATTGTGTAACATTTTAATTATATGAAATAATAATGATCATTATACCAACCATATTTATAAGTCAAAAGTGTTATAAACTTATTTATGTCGTATCATACAAAAAAAATTCTGTCTGCCATAGCTAGTATCTTTTTACATTCAGGTTCGTATAAATAGAAACACAGCCAGCCATAATGTTACTAAAAATAAAATTACATTCTTTTACAATAAGTATAAGCATAATCTATAATTCTAGTTAATAAACAAAGAATACCTGCGGTAAAACTGATATTGCACCGGATATAGGCTTATTGTCAAATAAATCTGCGATTGCCTCATCCTCTAGCTTTTCATTATACAACTTCAATTTGCTGATACGTCCAATAAAAGAATTCGAGGTTGACGATTCACTTCCAAGTAAAACATAACCCCTACAAATAATTGTATGTTGTGTAAATTCTACATTATGTTTCTAAACTCTAGCTTTTTTAAATGTATGCATCTAAATATTTTCATTTCCAGTAATGTAATACTGTTGCAAACGATATCATAAAATAGCTACAAAACAGCTACATCCCATTCGTGCATTATTTCTGAGACGACTATGCAGCTCGGTGAAACATTGTACCAACGACCTGCACATAGATAGTTTCCTTACACGATACCATGCATTTCTAAAAGACAGATATTTGTGTAGTATAAGAACGCTTTGCACAACGCATTTCCGAGTTATGCATACGTAAAGTCTACATGTACACATGTATACTACATAGAAATGTTACCATTCATTATTTAAAAGCTTTGCTTCGGACAAAATGCTATATAAATAATATATTTGATAAAAACCCGTTAGAACGTCAGTCACAAAACTTATTTCTAGATGATATTTTTATCATTCTATCAAGAACTATTGTCCTACCAATCCGTCAGAGACTGTCCTACAGCAAAAAAATCTTCCAGTTGATATACACCATTCAAATATAGAGTTAGATAGCCATTATCGCCATTCCATGATACAGCCACGTGGTGCCACAAACCGTCTTCTATGTCGTTATTTTCTATCGGAAGTTCAATAGACGATTGTCCACGTGACATGTCGAATCTTACACTTTTACCATTCACTCGAACTCGGTATGTCCACTCATTTATTGAATCTCCGCTAGGATAGTTTGGAATAAATATACAATAAAGCTGAACTTTGTGAACTAAATTGTATAGCATTAACAATTTAACACGAAGAATTAAATGTCAATTTATCTGAAATCGAATTTCAAGATCAATTCATATTTTTCAATCGAACTAAATAAAACCAGAAAATAATAAGCAATCAAGCAAAAATCAGAGATCGTCAAAATGATATTGATAAAATACTTATTCTAAGTTTTGAATATCAATTTACGATAGCTAATAATTATAATATGACAAAAAGAATAGATTATGAACGCTTTGTTTGAAAATAAAAGTTTATTAGAGCATACCTCTTTTGGACACCAAATATGGTTACCATAGCATCTGGATCATTCAACACAGTAAGTCTTACCCAAAACGCTACTGTAAATGCTGACGCAGTAAACGAAAAACTAGCTGGGATTTTATCTTCATGGCAACCGCCAGGTGGCAGCACTATGTAGTCAAAATCGTCGGAAGAATCTTAAAATTTCACATATATATATTTAAAGCAGCATGCCTCCAAGTCATGCAAGTTTTCAAGAAATATTTTTTTAAATATATTAAGAAGTAAATTATTGTCAAGTAAACAAAGGAAGTAGCTTACACATTGAAAACGACATTTAAAATCTAGGAAAATTACAGAAGATAGGTCAGAACGTATATAAATAGACCTTACTGCGTTGGTGACAGTGATGCAGTAGAAATATGGTGACAAATACTGCAAAAGTATTTTATGCCCTTTTTATGTTTCACATTTTCATAATTTAATATAAACACAATTCAAGACGTACATACTCGTGTACTATTTAGTAAGCAAAGGAGTTTTCTGATTTCTGATGGTCAAAACAATGGCTAGTAAGTTTTCTTCAAAATTGTAGAATTTTCACTGGCTGAGAAATACAAATATTGAATTACCTTTTTGGCAGTTTTCGCCGACTTTATCGTCAAGACAAACACATTTGGCACTATTTATGCCATCCTGGCACACAGAATTTTGAGGACAAGTTATAGTCAGGCACTCGTCTATGTTAATGCTGCAGTCATTACCCCTAAAACCTAAAAAATAAATGCAAAACTATTGATTCTATATAGATGAAAATAAATTTTAAAAATCCTGAATTTAGCATTTTTACAAACAGAAAAATATGAATCAAGAACAATTAAAGCACCACGCCTCCAGATTAATGCTTATTTTTGTAAAAAAAATGAAAACATACTTAAAAAGTATAATGCTGTGAACATAACAAGGAAAGTAATTAACACATTGCAAACGAAACTTACAATCCACATAAAATACCGAAAAGAGGTCAAATTATGCAAAATAAGCGCTTACTGCGTTAGTAACGCAGTAGAAATATGGTTATAAATTCTGCAAAATCAGTCATTTAAAGCACATAAAATGTACATTATTACTTGAATCTTGAATGTTTCTAATGTTCTTAAAATCTTAAAACGTTTTTCTTAAGTTTATTTTTCTTGAACTATTTTGGTTCATCTGGAGGCATGCAGCTTTAATGGTTACCGCCGTTTAAACACATATGAAGATGTTTTGAATAGCCGGTGCTAGGGGCTGTTCACGGTGCTAAGGAGTGTTCACGGTACAAGTGCATTGCATTGAGTACTGCTGTGCATAAGGAGGCTAAAGGAAACCAGATTTGCAGCATTTTTTTTTTTTTATTTTTCTGCATTTGGCCGATCTTTATTTTTTCATTTTTTACTTAATCTATATTTTAACATTTGTTTAGCTATCTGAAATTCCTGACTGGGACACGAGGATAATCTCCGGAACTTAAATTCATTGTGACATGTTTGAAAAAATTAAACCGTGATTAAAAAAAAACAATTCAATTATAGATTTATATAATCTTGCTCTTGACACCATCAACTTACTTTTTTTAAAAACATGACTCACTGATAAAAGTGTTAACAAAAAGAATATTTAAAATATAATTATTTCCTACAATGATTTTATTTCTGTTAAAATTTTTTTACTTGATGCTGCATTATTGTTAGATTTTATAAACATTAATTTATTGTTTTATGTGAGACAGATACCCATTTACCTCCCAGGTTTATGCATGGCATAATGCATATAATGGTAATTTTTGTCCCCAAAATTCATGTTGATTTTTATGAACATTTCGAAAATGTATTGAAAAGTAAAATACTGTGAACTGACCAAAGATTGTATTTTACACATACAAAAAAAAGTGGTTAAAATTTGCAAAAATAGCCTTTTATTGCGTTAGTCTGTAGAAATAAGGTTATAAATACTGCAAAATCGGTCGTAATTCGAACAACTTTTCGTAAAATCTTAGTACATTTTTCTCGGGAAAAAACAAGAATAAAGATCAACAAGGCAAAGGCAATGTTAACAGGGCGCACCACCTCTCCCCCCCCCCGCCACACCCAAGTAGGGCGCCCAGAAGGCACCAAACCAAAACCGGAAGTGGACAAAAGTTTGATTTTCTTGAAATATTTTGCCTCGTATGAAGGCATGCAGCTTTTTAAAAATATATCACTGTGACTTATTAAACCAATCAAAAGTAAAAGAATTTCTACCTGGTATACATGTACAATTGACACCAGTGTTAGTTATGCTACATGTACCATTGTTTTTACATGTATCATCGGCACAGTACCATAGTAGAGTCTCACAACTGGCACCAGTGTAGGCTACAATAAAAGAATAATAAAGCACAATATAATAAAATACCATACGCATAATAAAAGTTATGAAATTAGGCTACACAATTTTTAAGAGAGCTTTGTTTCAAATATAACATGAAAAATTAAAATATTTTTAAAACATCTGTTTCATAAATTAAATTTAACATTCAAATGTCAGTCAATAACAGGGAGAACAAATTTTATTCTAATATTTTCATTATAATCAGCATTGCTAGTCCGACCTTCTTAGGTACGATGTTTGTTTTCCATTTTATTCTTTAACATTTCATCTTTTAATGCCACTGGCGATATCAACTTGCTTATATATTATACTATTAATTTAATCTACCTACTGCTAGCTGTTTAATATACAAGAATATATATTGAAATTTCCTAAACTTTACACTAGGAAATTCTACATTAAAAGCGTGACAAGTGCATTAAGACGATTCACCTGCAAAATCCGAGCGATTAGCTAGCCACCATGCAGACAATCTGTGTAATCTGACCTTACTCTATATTGTTGGTAGCTCATTCTTTTAATTTTGATATTGAAATCCTTTAAACTTTTGATACACTGTCCAAAGTTTTAAAGCAATGCAAATCCGTTGCACAACAATTTACTCATATTTACTAATACTTACCTTGATCACAATTACAATTCACACCATCCGGTGTGTCGTCACATCCGTTACCGTCACCAACACAAGGTTTACTTATCTCACATAGATCATAGCGTTCTTCACAGCGCGTTCCAGTGTATCCATGCGCACAACTGAGGTAATAAAACACAGGATTTTAAACAAAATAAACTTTAAAAGAACCGTTGAAAGATTAAAAAAAATCAATAAATTTTAAATATCCGGATATTAGGACAAATGAATGTTGTTCACCTATATATGTCATAACTGATATGTTAGTTATGCTGTTGATTTAGTTTTTCGTCCTGATACTTTTGAAATTAACAAAATATAAAAAAAAATAACACTGTTTAAACAAAAACTTTTGGTTGCAAATACAGATCATTTACAGTAAAAACACTTGTCTAGTATGCTGCTGAAGATAATCCGTGTATATACATGAAAAAAGAAAACCTATATAGCAATCAGGCAATGTTAATATTTAAATCATGATGTCATGATATTGTATCAAGTAAACTATTAAGCCATCAGCATTTAAAATAAAAATCGTTCATTTTCATTATTGTTGCAGAGTAAAACTGACATTTTGTTGCTGTCGTTGAAATTAGCATATTTCAATTTATACATTTGATTTGGGTTTTAAAGCTCAAAAAACTACTACTTTATAAACAGTAAATTTAAGTAAAAAGCAACATTTATTCCTAATTAAATGGCAAGTGATGTCCATTTCGTATTAGAAAACTACTGCACTAATTCAATTGACCATACGATATCAATATCTTGTACTCGACCTCCAATGCTAAAATTACCGATTCGATACACTTGTCTCGATGTATATTTTTCTATTAATTTAGTATTCAGCACTTTTAGCAATTCCGTTCACTAATTAACGACAAATCTTCATACTTGCAGACGTATCCCGTGCTTGTACTGATACATTGTCCTCCATCTTTACATTCTTGTCCTGTGATACAGTTATTTTTTATCGTTTCACAAAATTCTCCGTCAATAATCGAACACGTCTTTCGTAGTCCTGGTCTGACTGGTTTGTCACTAAACCCCCATGTTGGCCGGGGTATTAACGGGGGGTTTTCACCTATAAATAAAAAGATTTTGATTTAAGATTTAAAATCGGATCCCCAAGTTTTTCCAAGTAAAAAATTTTTTTTAAAAAAAAAGAAATAATTTAATAAAACATCAATACTTAGACTACCCAGAAGTGAAAACAGTAAAGGTAATGCAGCCCAGCATCTTAGATTTAAAAAAAAACAACTCGTTCTTAAGGTATTGCATATCTTTTTAAAGACAAAATGAAGATTAAAGTAATGTATCTTTTAAGATATGTGGAAAAAACGATACTAGAAAATATAGAGCAAATAATGAAAATCACTTATATGATTATTTACCTCACAGTTCGTTCCTTGGAAGCCATCTTTGCAGTAGCATGTATAACCATCTAGTGTGTCAGTACAGGAATCAGTATTAGCAGATAAACATGAGGAACAGCCGTTCAAATTGTCGTCACACGTCTTACCTGTTCAATTATATAACCTTATTTTAATATACAAACCTTTGTGAATAGTATACCATTTTTGTGAATATGTTTAAATATGTTTGTGAATATCATAATATATTTTTGAATATTATTTAACTTTATTGAATAGTATGCAACCATTGTACGTGCATTGCATATACTTTGTGAATGCTGTAAAACACGTGTAACTATTGTAAAACCTCTATTAATCTTGTAAAACTTTTGTAAATATTATTTGTATCATAGTTTGGGGACCTTTCTGTTGAAAAAGTGTAAGAGTTTAATCGTATACATATACATGCACAGTGCGGTAACTGGAGTGCAGGTATCAGTTACCCGCACTCCAGATAATGCCCGTTGATTGGTTCATTTTTGCTGGGGTTTACTTATTGTGACGGCAGAAAAAGAGAAAGGGGCAGAAATATCATATTCAAATGCTTGTTCATTGGTTCATTTTTTCTGGGGTTTCGTATTATGACAACAGGGAACGTGCTGTCATGTTTGACTATGATACAAAAGAGAAAGAACACCAAAACACTCGGCAATCTGATTCATACTCGGGGGCTATGCCCCCTCGTACAAATCAGATAGCCTCGTGTTTCGGTGCTCTTTCTATTACTAAACCTTCGTGAGCGTCCTAAAACATGTGTAGCTGCTTGTATTGTGAATGTTGAAAAGATATGTAAATATTGTAACTTAGATTTTGTGAATATTGTTAAACCTTATCTGAATTAAGTTAAACATTTTGAAATACATAATTGTAGTAAACCCGCTTAATAATATTGCAAAAGTTTGCACATGTTGTTAAACCTTTGTTCATGTTGTTAAGAACCTTTGAAAATAGATAAAACCTTGAAAGATATTGTAAAACTTTCTAAATGTTGTAAATAAGTTTACGATTGTTGTAATACTTTTTTAAAATGTTGATCAACATTGATTTTATGAAAATTGTAAAACTTGTGTAAATGTAGAGCCTGTGTGAACATTGCATACAATATAATGAACGCTTGTCGCAATAATGACTTGCATGTTACACCTTAACAAAGACATACCAGCATACAACTGGAAGGGAAATAACAACAATATTCGTTTTCTCTTAAACAATAATTATTATTATGATAAAAGATGACAGACACTTTCGGTATGATTTGAATGAGCATAAATAATGATAAACAGTATAAATATTATTTTGAATATACCTCCAGAACCAGCTTTTGTGCACGTGCACGAGAAATCATTTACACTATCGCTACACGTGGCGTTGTTCTTGCACGGGTGATAAGCACAATCGTCAATGTTGAGTTGACACGTGTTACCACCATATCCCACGTTACAATGGCAGGTGAGATGGTATCCCCCGTCGTATGTTATACACTGTCCGTCTGTACCACAGTCATAATTCTCACAATACTTCGTGTTTACTCTACATACCTTGAACGAATCGTCTGCGGGTAAAACGAAAATTATATATTTTGATATATTCTAATAAACAATATCAACAGTTACTGTCAGAAAGTCAATTCCAATATACCTAAAATAAGATCTTTACATTGAATTACAATGACCTTAAAAAGTCCACATTTATCTTAAATGTTAATTTAAGTTTTCACCGGCCTAATGCAAGGTTATTAAACATGTTTGTTTGTTTTTTGTTGTTGTTTTTTTTGGCTGTTGTTATTTTTTTCAATGAAAGCAATTAAAGTCCTTTCATTTGTACAATAATATATCATTATATTATTTTATATCATATACAGAATCACTTCTTCATCTATAAAATTTGTATAAGATTCCATTTGTTGATGTTGTTATTTCATTTTATATACTTCTGATTCATATTAAACATAATTGATTTCAAAGTGCCGTACAACTTTTGTGTTTGGTTACATCGTATGGCTGTTTCATGCAGAAAAATAAAAGAAGTTGCTTGTAGCAACAGGGAAAAAAAAGAAAATGACAAAAAAACATGAATATTATGAATATCAAAGAGTAGAATGGGTTTTTGTATTCATAGAATAAAATATGATATAAAATTGATTACTAACCAAAATACCAGCCTTCGTTACAAAGACAATATCTAGTGTTGGTGATGTAATTATCAATACAACCACGGCCAGCGGAGCATGCCACCTGGGAGCATGTATCCGCTCTATTCCTCTGCTCACAATATGTTCCTTTAAAACCAGTTAGACACACGCACGTGAATGAATTATCACCATCAATACAGGCGGCACCGTTTGAACATGGGTTCGGGTCACATTCATCTACAAATAGGGACATAAATTCGGAATAAAACATGTTACCACGTTAAAGATTGCATTGAACTGCACGATTAATATATGAAAAGGATACTTCAGTCTTTTATGAAAGTCTTGGTTGAAATATATTTATTTAAATTCGACTGCGAAACAAAAGTTCTTGCAACTAATATAAGTCATTTTCGAGCCCGCTTCCTTGAATCAACCAGTACCGGTGCCATATGAAAAAACATGGTCGTGATCGATGAGGGTTAGAATCCATGATCCCTAAGTTGAGAGGAAGGCACCTTAACCACTAGGCTACTGATTAGATACTAAACATTGCCAATTGAAGTAAGTCGAGATGTAATGGAACATTATTATAACAAAAACTTACCTAAGTTGTATTCACAGTTCACACCTGAGAATCCATCCGGGCAGTTACACACCCTATTGTAGGACCCTTGTGTGATACAGATGCCGCTGTTATTGCACGGGAATCGTAAGCACGGGTCTTGTGGAAACTGGCAGCTAGAAAAATAAATTGATTTTTCATACACTTTGCATGAATACAATATCTTTATTTCAGCTTAAGTCAAACTGTTTTTTTGTCCCGGTATGTCTTCATTTGTGTTCATGCTACTTTGGAAGTTTACACACAACAAATATTATAATAATTGTGTTTTATCTTAAACTCCAAGTAATGTACTATGGCCAAAATGTTACTTGAACATGGCAGTAACTTAAACCCTTACTGAACATTGGTGTGCAACTAACGTGAAGAGGCCAACATGAGAAGGGCGGGAACTGACCATTAAAATTATTGGTGATGCATTGGGAAAGTTAGGTACTACTCAAGTAAAGGAAAATGTTTGCTTCCCACTTTACTACGTTTTCAAAAGTTCTATAAAAACTGATTTTGTGATAGATAATATAATATGTCTTTCATTAAGATCATCTAATCCTTAACCTGCTAGAACCAAACTGGATTTTTGTGAACAGTATAGAGCTAAGCCAGACTGCATATCAATGCAGTCTGACCAGGCCTTACAACGTTAATAAACTGATAATGGACGATTTCTGTAATAGAAGCTTGACAAATTCATGATTGAAACTCGACAGGTTAATGAGCATTATTATAATACATTATGAACATACATTTGGCATAAAAGTTAGAGCCAAGTTAAAGTTTTGCAGCCCAGCTTAAACTATAGCTGCTCCTATATTTCGTATTCATAAAATATGATCGAGTCTTACCTGCTGCCGAAATAACCCGAATGTGAAGAGCATGCGCATAGAGAACTTCCTTTCTGGTCAATGCAGGTTCCGTTATTAATACAGCTGGTACTTGTGCAATGATCTATATCTATTTGACAATTTTTACCCGAGAATGGAGCTGTAACAAATTACATAAACCTGCGTAGTGATACTTTCACTAATATTGCTTCATGCAATGATAATATAGGGTAGTTTATCTTTTTTATGCTGTAAACTGCTGGGACGGCAGCCTGCACTTCCATGCAGGTTGAACAGTCTCTTTACTGTTGATAACTCATTTTTTGTATTTTGTTACAATTAAACGCCTAAAAAATAGATGGGTTATTTAAAGTTCAAAGCAGACCAATCCATTACACTAAATTAAAAAGTTTAGATTTTATATTTGTTTCATACCCTTAAAAGAAACTTCATCAATTAAAATTTACATGTATTGACCTTTATTGATAAAAAATAACATAACGTGAGAAACTAAAAGTAAGGTCAATAATACTTTCGGCAAAAAGAAGAAGATAAAACTACTTGAATAGTTTGTTATCAACTTGCAGATGACTATTTGAATTACATTACGGTTGGAAAATATGCCTATATCTACGAAATATATGCCAAATAAATCAATGTTTTCATCTTTTTTTAATCGTTTTATATGAAGTTTGTTACACAGAACAAGTACAAGAATATAAGTTACCTGGACAAGTACAGTTGTAATCTGTCAGGCTAAACGGTGTACATTGACCGCCATTTAAACATGGACCCACATCACATGATGTCACCGGTGAATCACAGTTTCTACCAGTGAAGCCTATTTTATATTAATAAATGTTAGATAGATATATTGTACCAATGAAGCAATGAATAATCGGCATATTTTACTCTGTTTATGTTTTCAGGTCTTTTAAGGTTATTTTTGATAGTCGATGTTTTTTTTTCTTCAAACCACTCGCCCCTCACCGCCTGTCAGGGAGGAAAACTATTCAATTAGATTATGGAACGTCGGGGTATTACTCAGGTTTCGGTTCGTGCCTGAAATAATGCAGAGTGGCACTATATGTCTTCCTCAACCAGTTAAGCTTGGAAGTCGCCATATGACCAATACTGCGTTGGTGCAATGTAAAACCTAACCAAAAAGGTACATTTTATACAGTCAAGACAATTTTATATCTCGTAATAATGCTTCAAAATACTCAATTTTCTTGTTGATGTATTTTATTCTTAAAATAAATAATGACCTTTTTTGCAATTGTTAGAGAGGTCAGAAAACAAATTACCTGCGGCACAGTCGCACGAGTATTCATGCCTGACCACCATGCACGTGCCACTGTTAAGACATGGATTTGTTCCACAATGTATAGAGACTGAAAAAATAATCATTGCTTAAAATAGTTGTCAAGTGTGTAAAAATAGGTTATAAATTACATTTAGTATGTTAATAAACGATTTTATTTAGCTGTTAAATTCTGCTTAAGACTATGCAAGGGTGCGTGAACAGTAGCTTGCAATTACCACTACCGTCCATAAACAGGCACACTGCAGCATTTTAAATTTTGCCGTGTTAGGATTTCTTTAAGGATTCTGTTTTTTTCTTTTTTGAAAAATATTGCAGCTCACTAACTTATCTTGATATAAATAATTGCCAAATATCATGTACAATTACTTGATGTAATTCCGGAAGCAGGAATAATTATTAAACGATATTCAACACTAGGCTATTTAATATCAATGCCGAAAATCGCCTTACACATAAATTAATATAATATAGGACTATAATATAACTCCATATACAAATTTTACAAAAGAAACAATCGTAAAATGCCTTAAAACTACTTTTATTGGTTATTGGCATATGATATATCCATTCATTCAATCAAGCAGTAAGATCAATGAAAATATAAACTTACACCCATCCAGACAGTCCACAGGAGCTGTTAGACCCATGCCCTTAATGTTATAAGGTTTGAATTACACTCGGTACAGGATTTCGCCCGGGATACCGCTGATAAAAATGCTTAGGACATGAGGTAAGGGGGTTCGAGACCATCGTAGGAAAAACTGTCCTGGTTTACATGGGCTGGTAATAAAAAACTGGCATCATTATATTCGTACAATAGGTTACTTCAATAATTTAAAACGTGTATTCTATTCTTTATTCTATTCATATTTAAAACAAAAGCAGTTATGATAGCATATATCCAAACTCAAATCAAAAACATGCTATGAAAAACTAGTCTTTCAGAATTTTAATTATATTTGTCTTTATTTTTTGAAAATTAAATAAATAACATGTGTATTGTATAATTCCTAGTTTTTTGAAAAATATTTCGTCTGTCACGAATATGCATTAATTATGCGGCATGAGGAAAGTGGCCTTGTGGTAAATGTTTTTTACTTCTCAATGAAAATATTTACGTTTTAGCAATATTGTGATCAAGACATTTTATCAAGTTTTATCAAGGTTCAATGAAAACCACCATGTGAAAAAATCTGCGGATTTTTTTATAGATTTTAATTTCTTCCTTTTCATGTCTTATAGCTGCATGTATTATTGAATTCTGCTGAGGCATGTGTTCGGGGGCTTAGACAATAGCTTGCATTTGTCAATTCTGTCCATGAGCAGGTTCAATCAAGCCGAGCCTGCAACATTTTCAATTCTGGTGTTTGGGGCGTTATTTAAGTTTACATTTTTGTCCAGAAGGTAGCCAGGCAAGCTACTAAAAATCGTTCAACAAACAGAAAAAATAATGAAATTATTATTCAAAACTGATCATGTTCAACCAGTATTATTTCTTATTGAATTTCATAAAGAAATGCATTTGGCATAACAAATTAGTGACATACACAATATTTACAATAAATATAGAAAATGTAAAGGGAACTAACCTACACATTCCTGGCTAGTTCTCGCACCTCTTCTTTTTGTATGATGATTACCCGGACAGGGCTCGCAGTATGTACTATTAACCCAGTATGTATCCGGTGGGCAGTCTGTACATGGAGCCTTTCCCATCTGAACTGTACAGATATTTACCGCAGTCCTCTGTAACGTATACGTAAAAGAAATAAGACATGCCTATGAGGCTGGTCTGGATCCATGCTGGTCGCAAACCCATTATGTTGGTTTTGTCGTGACGCGGCTCAATTATTATATTTGGTGTGGAATGGAATATACATTGCGACGAAATGTACATTTAATTTCGAACCAAAAAAATACACTAATCGTTCAACCAGTAAACATAAAATCGGTATAAATATCTTATCTAAAGTACAAGATATATAATATCTAAAAATGACATTCTCCGCACAATCATTCCAAACTTGAACTTTCCGTAACTCAATTTTAGATATATTTACCACCCACCTCTATTCTTACAAAAGAGAGCCACTATTGCTGTAGATTTTATACAGTGGAGTACAAGCACTGCGACTTTTATTGAAGGATTGACTTAAATGTAACCCATATGCAGAACGAACGAGAGAAGATATATAAGATATGTGAAGATCAATTAAGGGACTGTAATTTGGAATTTTTTCTCACCCTTTTTGAGTTGTACTTATACGAGGGCGAATCAAAAAGTACGTGGAATATTTTTATTTTCTGATGATATTTTCAAAAACGTTTTAACATAAACAAAATGTCAAAAAATGAAAAAATGCTAGCTGGTTTTTTTTATTTAAAAAATTTTTTTTCTTGTTATGCAATTTCATTGAATAGAATCTTGAGCGCTAAAAAAAGGAAAAGATGTTCCTATATCAGGACACATGGTTAGTCTTTCTATATCATACCATAACAATCTTTTATCTGCATTGCCCCCTCTTTCTTGCTGTTTGTTTCAGAGGGACATGATTTACAACTTGAAGCATAGAATGCATCATTGTAAAAACCAGCTCCGCACGGAGCGCACGTGCTATTAGTGCCATATGTTCCTGGTGGGCATGCCACTGAAAATAAATATTCAGATAAATTATGTAGATCTATTAAATACCTAATAAATACTTATATTCAGATGTCTGTTTTCAGGACATCTTTCCGGCAAAATACTAGATTCTACCCAGGTGTAAATAAATTTGGGTTGAAATTAAAGCCCATTTTACATATACAATATAAGCTAGAAACAATAAGCATTTTACATTTAGAGAAGACTTGGATTTTCATTGAAAACAAATACCATGATGGTCGAAGGAGAGAAAGCACACGGGGTCTAAGGAGAGAAAGCACAAAGGCCGCTATAGGCCTATGTAGATTTGTTTTTGCATTATGATTATGGCATAAAATATTTTTAACAATGAAACAAATGGTTAAAATATTATTACAGCAGATGTGTTTCGTGGTATCTAACTTCAATGCCTTGGCGTTGCTGCTACACACTGCGTATGCTCCAACCAGACTTGCTCTTCTTGTATCCATTTGAACCTGTGGACAACTATCGATACTTCCGGGTAATGCTCTTATTGACGTCACTGATGACGACACATCATAGAACGCTTGATAAATCCTTTGGGCACATGTGAAATATTCGTCGTCTAATAGACCCCCGGGCTCTAAATCCACAGCGATTTTAGCTTTTAAAACACCCTTTGTAAATAAAAAAAATAAAACCTTTTAGTTATATATCTTTCAGAAAAAAATTGCGTATTTATATGTAATACATTGCAATACTTGCTAGCAAAGCGCAGTTTCATTTGTTATTTTTTAAACAATTCTAGATCTTAAAAGCTGCACAATGTTAACGTAGTTTCAATCCTTTAACATCATTATAAAGTTCGACATACTTTTTCACTGTGTGTATCACAAATTATTTAACTAACAAGTTATTTCTATTCTTAAGACATCTTTATACCAGATACGCATTAATTAATATGCCACACCAGCCTGCTGGACATCTAAGGTCTATATACCGTTGACATCTCAATGTCCATATAGATATATTTGATGCAACAATACTGGATTTTTTTCTCAGTCACATTTGAAATTGTACAGATGTACAATTTCTTACAATTATAAATTGAATTGTATTAGTTATTAGGAAAAATGTTTTAATCAGAAAATAACCTACAGTTATGCCATCCATTGCGGCTTCTATGGGGTTGATAGGCGACGGCGAGACATCAAAGGCCGTTAAGGAAACATTGTCGCATAATGCTGTGAATGAGTTGGTCAGGGTAAGTAACTCGTCACGTATTTGTTTCTCATATAATATACCACAACTGTCGTCAACAAACGTTAAACGTACATACTGGAACATGATCGACACACGGTAATGAGCCAGGTCAGGTGCTGTTATGACAAAAATAAACTGAATAAATAACTCATTAAAACATATTCCCTATATTGGTTGTATGTATGTTAAGCATTTTCAAGTTCAGCTGCGCAAAATGTTTTTATATTTTGGCAAAATTAAATACAATCAAATTTTAAAATCTTTCTTTCTACAGTATACTTAGATAATGAAACAAGTTATGGATTTAATACTGTCTCGTTCAATCATTGCATGCGGTTTAACGCAACGAAGCTAATTATTCTTTCCCAGAACATCTTAAGGAGGCGTACGTGTATAATATGGTAATTAATCATTTATTTATTCACTATAACAGAAAAAAAGAAATTTGTATGATTTTACATTATATATCTTATATTCATTGATATTAACCATTAAACAGCTAAATATCTGAAATAAACTTTGTCCATCTCTCAATCTAGACAAACCCATTTATTTTCTGTTGTAGACCATGATCGGACTGTTTGATGTATCAGCTGATTTTGATTTACACTGGTAACATGGTTAGAATCTGATGTACAGGTTAACAATTAAAAAGGATTTGAGTTAAAATGTGCTATATTTTTCATTAGTTTCATAACTATGACATATTGATGTATCACTTAAAAGATAAGCGAGACGGGAGTGCATGGGTATTGAATAAAACAGAGAAATTAATATACAAATGTTTTAAGAAAACAAATAGCATCAACTGAAAATAAAATAAAATCTATGTTAAGGGGGTAGGTATAGGTTTGAGATAAAATGTACTTACTTCTTTCTGGGTGAAAAAAAAATACAATGTATTATGAAAATTAGTATATTTCCACTCAATATAAGAGAGTAACAAATCATGAACACTAAAGAGATACTGAATAAAATGATCAATTACAAGTTTTACATTCATTATTGAAATGCACTCTCATTTTGCTTTGTTCTGCTTTGTACTATATCTTGCCATATTTGGACAGACTTTTTTTATCAGAATATATTATTGCACCAGTCCAAATAACCATTTTCAAGCCAAGGCAATTATAAGTTTGCATATCGGTGTATTTGAAAGTGTGTGAACAAAATACAGTGTAATGCAAAAGTATTTTATTTTTAACATTCTTTTTTTTTCTTTCTAGAAATTATATACATTATAAGTTATTGTTATTAGTGACCACTGCTTATACAAGCGGTAACGTCATTGCAAATACAAATTACTATAATATATTTGAGAATTTCTACTGCTACGAATGGTCACTGTTCATACGCGTAACCATCAGTAATATTGCACGAATGGTCATTGGTTATTTAAAATTGATTATTTCAAAGTGATAATATTCTTTTAAAGCATTACTTTATTTTATTTAAGTATATTTCATCACCAGAGGTTCTTACCTGTACAGATCGGCATGTCCCTACTCCATTCTCCACCAGATTCACACGACACACTTACAGAGGAGAGGGTCGCGTTCTCAAAGAAATAATATCCAGAGTTACACGTGATTGTACATGTATATCCTGACTGTGGTGTCTGGTTACACGTGATCTCTCCATTATATACCTCAAGAATGTCCGGCTCACAAAGCGGTGCTGAAATATGATATAAACAAATGTATTGAAACTGTAATTTACGTTTGAAATGTTTTTTTTTATGTTTTGGAAAATAACAAACTTCAAAAGAGCCATAGTTTCCCCCATCATTATCGGTAATGGGCAATCACTTTTACTAGAGAGAGCAGAGCATGGAGTTTCTTCGCACATGTAGAACTGTTCTTCCTTTAAAACCAGTCCAGGAGTATTGTCTTAAGGTCAAGCCCCCCCCCCCCATAAATTCTAGAAGTCGTAAAAAGGCTATTTTAAACATAACAAAAGTTTTAGAAAAACGGGCTATTACATGTTAAAAAGTTTCATAATCAAGGCTTCTCACTACTGTTATGTCGCACTTTGGATGTTTATTTTAAACGAGGTTGTCAAAGCATATCAGGTGGACAGATAGACAGATATACATTTGTATATTGTATCTTCTTTGTTTTATTTCATAATGCATCCATTTTATCATGTTATTTGTGCATCGTATTATATGGATAAATAGTAAATGCCAACCATAACATGACATCGCTTTTATAAGTTATATGTGTTTTCTAATCTGTTGATTTTTCCCATATATTCTTACACTTCAGTCGCAACAGCCTTGTCACACACTACAGGGTTCTTGTAGATCATTTTATTTACATCAGACCAGAAAAGTTTATGGTAAAACGATATGTTCTTTCCATTTTATTGTGCTTACATGTTTTAATAAAACCAGATCTTAATTTTGAGGTCTGCACATAGTATCAACTGTGTACCTATTCACTCAATCATTATGACCTTGGTGGTTATATTACTGCGCAACTCTATACCGTGCACTGTTATACCACAACGCACTCAAAATTAAGATTAATTTCCTTAATAATATTTCTAAGACCCCTCTGTATGAAAAAACATGTTTATTGATATTCTAGCATCGAATTTTTAACCCAAAGATCGCAAGTTCGAGCTTCTGGCAAGGCAAAATGCAAAATGTCTCCGTGACATCTTAGACATTGCATCTTATCGTAATTTGTCTCGCTGCTGATTCAGTTACCTTTGAGATAAGTAGTCGATTAGTAGTGCAGAGAAATTAATTATTACTGGTGTGTTATCAAGGAAAGCCAGTTAGGCGGACTGGCAACCAAGATATGACCAAAATGAATTTAAAAAAAATCGGCGCAAAAACAAACAAGAAAAACCAGTTTAAAATACCTGCAATTTTCATTTGGCTTAGGCATGTAGCAACGTTTTTAGAAGGGTCGGTAGCTGTGTATGTCACTATTGGATTTGTCCCGATCGTACCATAATTTGCCGTGACATATGCCGGCGCCGCAAACAAAGTAGCTGAGCGGTCGTCGGTAGTGGTGAATAGCTCCGTATTCACCTGCGTGTTACCTTGGTTGGGTGTGATCACCGTCGGAGTATTGCAAAATAGTTGTGGTGGTGTCTTGTCTATTAAGTAAGGAATAGAAACATGAATTTAAAGAATATTTTAAAAGAATGTTTCAAATAAATTATCATTTGGATACAATATGCTAATCTTATATCTAACATGTTTAAAACAACAGATATATGTACTTCAAAATTAGAAATTAAAGAGAAACATTCGCGTAAGTTATAACGCACTAGCTACATGTTCCAGTATAACAATACAGTAATTGGTGTAATAAACTTGGTGTAATAAAGTATAATTGTATATTATCTAGAGACGTCATACCATTAATGATAATTCTAAACTGGCACCATTGTTGGTTCCCACTGAAATCTGTTGCTATATAAGTCAAAGTTGATGTTGAATCCATCACCATACCGGGCCGAAAATTCTCCGGAAATCTCTGTGTGTTTATATTTACAAAAACATATGTTAAGATTGCTTAACATAACAAGTTATGAAAAAAAATCCTTCATTTAAATATAAAACCTTTATGTTAATATCTACGGTATTTACTACAATTAAAATGTGTCATCTAACTAATCACCGTTTTGGTTAATTCAGTGATTATTGAAATGGAAACGGGTGTTGAATACTTGAACAAGGTTCCAAATTTCATATTTCAAAGAACAGCATTATAAACAAAATCTTTCAGAATAGTGATAATAAACATACCTTCTCATTTACATTAAACAAAAAGCATATATTCCCTCATAAAATTAGAATGTAGCTATAGCACATGTATCGTCACAAATAAAAAACGACTTATCAATTGTATCAAAAGGCATTTTACTGTTAGTGGTGGACTTTGAAGGAAAGCAATTTTTCAAAAACGTTAAGCGCTAAACAGATGTAATTGAACTTTGATGAATAAATTATACGACGAGACAGAATATTGCCCGATCATGCGTTTGTATCTTTAAAAGATAAATAATAAAATATTGAAGTACTAAGTTTATTCTCCTACGTTTTCATAATAATACAAACATAGCCACAAGTATAGCTGGGAGTCACCATAAGCTCTATACAGTGTTGTTGACGTAATACCCAACATAAATAAATATAATTATATGATTTTATCTTCTTTTTTGAGTGGGTAACAAATTTATCATACCCCTAATGTTTTCACGGCTGTGTTGTCAGTGGCTGTTGGTTCAGCGTAATAAACGGACGTGTAGGCGTCAACGTAACTATCTTCCGGGCAGTCTATAAACTGTGGCGGCATCGTATCTGAATTTTAAATCAAAATAGTCAAAGTGATAATAGCAGGCATAATGCATCATGACTGTTTGATGGTTATAGTTCAACTCCCTACGTTTTGCGAAATTTAGTGATAGATTGAATAAGATTCCTTCTACGGTCATATTCTGAAAGGAATTACGTCAGTTCCTTATAAATGAATACATAAAAACAGATTTTAAATTACAATCTTGTGTCTAATGTTCGTGGTGCTATTTATCTTGGATTGCTTAACGTATTTGCGTCACACAATAGTGCACGGTCCGCTTATGAACTTCTCACTGAAATTAGTGCCTTACATAGTGTTCCTATAAAATAAGCTAGTTTCTTGCATTTTAAAATTAATACGTTTAATACATTGCACACTTTTATGGAGTTTTACGAAAATTTATTACGGTTTGCATGAAAATCGAACATGTACAGCATGAATAAAGTCTTAAACTAACACAATGTATGAAATATAAAGAAATTGTTCAAAAAATTACCTAGGCAGGTCGGTAATGGATTATCCCATGCAGTCAAAGTATCTCCGACTTTAATGCACGTTGCTGTAGCATTGGGCAAAGGTTCATAGCCCGGAGTGTTGCACGAGAAAGTTGCAACAGTTCCTATAGCAACGCTATATACTCTTTCATCGCCATGTGACCATGATGACAGTGTTGTATAACCGTTGACAGGGTAACCAGGGTCGGGGCACTGGCCTCCTGCAATGTTCAAGATATAATTCAATCATTCACAATTTACATCATATAATCAAAGAACTGGGTTTCGAAAATGATGGGGAAGACCGTGGTCCAACCAATACGTATTAATAATATCTTAAGCCCTTTGTTATGTTTTTGGTTGAATATGACTTCATGTCAAGCTTTACGATTTAAATACTGCCGCAACTCAATAAAATATAACTAAAGCAAACAAAACAGAAATATCTTTTCATTTCAAAGCATACTAATATTGCCTTTATCATAAAGTTCTATTTAACAGAACAAATCAGCACAACTTGAAATTGCGGCACTAGTTTTCAATTTAGTTTTCAAAAAGCATTATCACCGGTTATTCAAGTATACAAATTACCAAATGGTAAGTTGAAAACTTAATATGCATTTTACAGCATCTAAAAATCATGAAATATTGCAACTTACCTGGTGTCTTAAAGGATATACATGTATATATATAATATTTAAAAGCCAAAACGTAAATAACCTAGTTACCTTCGCAACGAAGAGTGCCAAAGTCCCACACACCATTTTCATTACACCTGACAAGACTGTCACTGAATATTCCTAGAGGACTGTTCCCTCTCCTCACAAACTGACCTTCACATTCAAACACTATAGTACTGTTATATAGTGTACTTGGTGTAATAAATGGTTTCACCCCAGTGTAAACAGGTGCTTCTCCACAATCTGTCTCTGAAATAACAAACAAATAAACAAATAAATAAATGAGCCGCGTCACGACAAAACCAACGTAATGCGTTTGTAACCAGCATGGATCCAGACCATTCTGCGCATCCGCGCAGTCTGATCAGGATCCACGCTGTTCGCTTACAAACCCTTTAACAAGTAGAGAAACTGATAGCGAACAGCATGGATCCTGATCAGACTGCGCGGATGCGCAGGCTGGTCTGGATCCATGCTGGTTGCAAACTATTACGTTTGTTTTGTCATGGCGCGGCTCAAAATAAATAAACAAAGTAATATCAATAAATGTCATTAATGTTGACTATACAGGTAAGCTAGGAACATGTTCTTTTAAAATTCTAAATTTTAAAGTTTAGTTTACTGGTTAATGCGTAACTATGTGTATACTATGAAAGTAATGCAAAGTAAAAAAAACTTTTGAAAAATAAAGATAAAGAATTTTCAGGCATAATGGACCTTTACGAATCGGAGGCAACATTGAGTGATATCCAGACAAATATTTTTGTATTGCACAAGAATTAAATGACTGCAAGGATGATGAATGCTTGTAAACAAAATTGTTCATAAAATTCATAAAATAGAATTTAACCAATCCAGTGGAATTGAATGTTTTGAACAAAGGGCATAAATACCAGGACAAGCAAGGAGGTCTCCATATGTTTTGTATGTACGGGTGTCTTTGTCGTAGCCACATAAACGCTGCAGGACCAGTTGTCGCCCGTTACGTCGCGTGCATGTTAACGTGTATTTCTCCTCGTACTGTATACGTCCAGCAGGTGTGACCGCTGATCCATACGTCTCATCACAATATGCAACTTCTAAAAACAATATCAGAAAATATCATCATAATTGTCCATCCAAAGTGTAAATATATGGGTTTTTAGCAAACTTCTGCGCCTATAAAGATTAAATGAGCGTTTATAAGATAATGGACAATATGAATAACAGTACTGTTGACTCTACTGAATGATTATACGTGACGGAAAATGACGGAAATAGTCGAATTCGTCCGAACTGTAAAGTCATGGAATATATTCAATAAGGTAATATATAAAAAAAATCATGATATTCCATTGAACAATTTCGCCATTAAAATGATCCATAATAGATAATATACATGTGGTTTGAAATTATATTAATCAACAAATAATATGTTAACCTTTTCAGGTTTAGATCAACAAAAGGTAACTAAATAAGGCACAAAATATTTGACAACTAATTTGAGAAACAAATATATGAGTTATAACTTACCGTCGCACACAGGGCGCTGAGTCCACTGGCCATCAATTCCACAGGTTATAGTAATATTAGAACTAATTGTCCCACTAGCAAACACACCAATGTTACATAGAACTTCTACTTTATCACCGTAATAGAACGATGTTGCCGATGTTAACGCTTTCCCGCCAGCAATATTCAATACATTATCTGACTCACATTTCTTTACTGCAGAAGAGATACATATAAGAATCAAATCAGCTCTTTAAAATGTAAGCGATAAATGAAGATTGAGAGTGAATGAACACATAATTTATCATAATAAGCTTGCTGTAGTCTGCTACTGAACGATGGACAGAAATGTACTAATTGGAAAACATATGGCATTTGGTTTCTATAGAATTTATTTTAGTTCGATTTTGTAGGAAGCTATTAGCTTATAGACACACTTTTAAATCCGTTCCTGACCTTACCAGTACTAAGCAATGAGTGTAAACTTTCTTCCTCAAGGAAACAATGGCTTGCCGCTGATAGGACTTGAACACACGCGGACAGCGATCCTTTGATAATTGGTCGGACGCTTTAACCATTCAACCATATCGCTACTTAGATTTGCTAGCTCATTATAAGTCATTTTATGTTGTCAGAATTTGTAGTGAAGGACCCGAAATAAATTTTATCAAAAGATAACAAGGTGAACACCATCCTGGAGCACATTTATGTCTGAATCTACAGAGAAGCAACATCAAAGCATAAGAATTAATATCACGATACGGTTTTGTTAAAATTCGTATTTTTGTACAAACAAAACTTCCTCCCGTTAAATTTCGCCTTATGATAAGTTTATGTCAAGATTTTTTATCTGCTCAAATTACTTTTATCTCTTCAAATTACTTACACACACAGGAGTGATCTATATGAAATATATGCCATGGTTTGGTACCATCTTCGCCATTACCAAGTGTGAAACCATTAAAGCCAGCAGACGTGTATAAGTCGTACCCATCGTCACAACTACACTGATACGAGCCAGCCGTGTTTGTACAAACATGGTCACAAATGTTTAACTCCGCTGTACACTCGTCCACGTCTGTAACAAAGGGAGAGAACTGAGTTGTATAGGTGGGTTATAATGGTCCACGGAAATCACGCGGGTACAAAGTAACTAAGTAACACGTCTTCTTCATAATGGTTGCCTTTTTTAGAACTATAAAATAGTAATGTTCATAAGGTAAATCAGTTAATTATTATTAATTCCTTAATTGTGATTGTTTTCTTAACACACGTTAATTCTTCAATACAAAGAAACAGGGAGTGTTTTGCAACATCCTCTCGAAATTAATAACGTTCTGTTTTAATTGACAATTGTGTCTGCTAGATTGTGCAGTAAGAGTAAGGTGTGTTCGTCAAAGGAGAACCAGTTTAAATCATGAAAGTTTCAAATCACACTTGATTTGAACACTTCCATTTTAAATTGGTTCCTGAAGATAAATCATAAAATATTAATGATAGATCTATAAATTAAAAATTAAACAAATATTATACAACGTATCTGAAATTTTACTCAGAACCCACGACTCGTAAAGCAGCTGGCATTGTTTGGAAACACTACTATAACAATATCTTTTATATAATCTATATATTTTTTTTACCTTCACATGCCGTTAAGCTGTCCCCTGTCGGAACATATCCAGCTAGGCATGCGCAGATGTACGAACCGTCAGTATCCTGGCACTCGGCGTTGACACAGTCGTCCAATCCAAGATTACATTCGTCTATGTCTGTGAAATTCATAAATCAAAGATTATAAAACGTGACCTATTTTTTATCACTTAAATCTTGAACCCAAACCGTCCTGGGAATATGTGCAACTTCTGAATATTATACCAAATATAGAATATGAACAACTATTTTTTCTTACTTTTATTCAATCTAGGAGAGCTCAACTGAGGTTAAAAGCCTAAAAACATAAAATTTGAAATTCTTGCATAGATTAAGTGGAGCACATTAAATGAATAATCTTGCAGAAGGTAAAAGAATTAAACTGCGATTCTTAGTCCGATTTGAGAGGAAAAAGAGTTGCACCGCTTTTCATTTATGGGTCATTTTGAACAATAAAAATTATTTTCTAGAAAAATGTGGTGAGCAAATGATCTGCGACATTATTGTTGTGTATTCATTTTAGATGGCATTTTTAGTTTCTTGTATTTGGCCTTTTTCAACTTGGGTGGTTCCAGTATTCCTACTTGGATACTGTATAATCACCCTTAAGATATGTTGCCTGCTTTTTAAATTTTTCTTTTGACGTCTTGTCTGTGATATGCAGGCTTCATAACCTCAGATTCCCTTTCAAAATTCCATTTTATTTAGTTCCGCCCATTGTTTTCTCTCACATGGCACACGCATTCTTTTACTTGGGGCCATACGCCGCTTTTCATGGAATGGCACCACTGTGTCACATTGAAGGTTCCATGATAACCGCCGTATAAACACATCTGCGGATGTTTCTAAATTCAAAATTTCACCATTTTTGTGATTAAATGTTGAATTCTGCTTAAGCCGGTGCTAGGGGGCGTGGACGGTAACTTGCACTCTCCAATACCGTCCATGAACAGGCTCAATCAAACCGAGCCTGCAAAATTTTGCATTTTTGCCGTGTTGGGCTTTCATTAGGGATTCAGTTTTTCTCTATTTTATACACGTTATTTGTTCAAACTTTTTAAATGGTACACAAATCTTGAAAACATATTTTAAATTCTGTCAAATAAACATCAATGGAGAGTCCCTTTACATTTACTTCAAAAAATACTAGTTTAAAACAGAAATTCAACTTGAAATATAACGGGATTTGCAATAATGTATAATATCAACAGATCGTGTATCATCACTAAATAAGACCTTAGAAAATGTGATAATTTAGAGAGAAAACCTACTCTGACATTGAAGCTGTTCGTCAACACCACATCTAAATGATCCCTCGGTTTCAAGGCCACCACTCAATGAGTATCCCGGGTTACAGGTCACTTGGATGACACTGTTCATAACAAAACTCTGGGACATGTTCACGTTCGCATTCCAGAATGTTGTCAAAGCACACGGCATTGCTACAATACCAATGAACAATATCATAGTTATAGTACTAGACGATTAGTTCAATATTTTTATTGTAAAGCAAGCTTTCAGCCTATTTGAGCAACTCCTGGAACTAACCAGTAAGTATGTCTCATGAGGATATATGATTTTTGTAACCCAGCAGGAGTCAAAACACTAATAAGCCGATAAGTGAACATTTAGGCGTGAGCTTTAAAAAAAGAACGTTTTTGTAAATTCAATTCAAGACCTTTAGTTCTCAAAGACTTTCAAAGTGCATGTGTTTCCATTCAAGTTTTATGTTTTAGACATTTGTAAAATATTTATTACTGTTTCTTACAATAGAAACTTGCGTTTCAGAACGAAGACATAAATTGATAATTAAATACATTTTAAATCCAATCAAGTTAACAACTTAAAATAATAATAAAAAGTGTTTGCAAATTGTTAAGTGTATGCATTACAGCTCGGAGCCCCCAAAGTTTGAATAAAGATATTTTCTATGAGCAATTTCTTTGTGCATAACACCAAAATAATCAACAAGAAACAAGCCAACAGACAAACACTCAAAGGAGAAAAATATAAATGATCAGATAATAGTCCTTAAAGACAAATTGAATTGTTAAAGTCACTAAAAGAATACACTGACACATACGCTGACATTGGGGAAGTTCGCTCTGCCACTGACCCTGATTGCATGTTATTGTCTCAGGACCAATCAGATCAAAGTATTGGTCACACGTGACCTTCACAACTGACGCGTGCTGTATTCCATCTCCTTTCATATTTGTAAGTGTTGCGTTGGCCACGATGGTTCCCAGAGCCGAACATTCCGTCGCTACAATGAAATGTTAATTGTTTATGTATCAAAATATGTTAAAATCTGAAATACCCTTTAAAGTAAGAAACCTTTGAAGTCGAATTATTGAAAAATTGTATTGATCAAAAATTAAAAAGTTAAAAAAAATACTTAAAAGTGATAGAAAGATGCGCATTCTGAGGCCGCTGTGGTAGAATATTACATATTGGAAAGATAAGGAAACAAAAAATACACATTACGCAAATCTGGTAGGTTTTTGTTGTTGTTGTTGTTATTTATGTATTTATTTTATTAATTTATCTATTTTTTACTTTTTGCGTTATGTGTCATTGAAATGATTTCAGTTTGTAATTTTGATATGACCAATGATAATTCTTCTTATATTCAGCCCTTCCCTGTAAATTGTTCACGAAATCAAACTGATTTAAGTCTGCTTTCGGTCGGAAAAGTCATCAAAAACAAACCGGTACACTGCGGTAGAAAACCCCACGAACTGTTGCTAAGGCACGTGACTAGTTTGTTTCCCTCCATTGTAAAACCTTCATTGCATTCATACTGTATAACGTCACCACCTTGCACACCGGAAGCGGTGACAATGTAACCATTTGGTATGTCCTTTGCAAGTCCGCAGTACTGTCCTAGAAAATAAAAGGTATGTTGATTAAAATACTTCTATTGTTTATCTTTTACTCAAAACAAAATGGTTTACGGAAAATTTATTGATTACAAATCAAATTTCCACAGTAACAAGAAGAATATAAATACAAGACATTCTGAACATTAAAGACATTTTTAGGATATGTGCGCAGCCTAGACAGTTGAATGCATGGGAATTATCAACTTACGTTCGCAGAAAGGAAGATTATGCAAGTTCCAGGTCCCATCACCCTGGCATGTTAAAGTAACAGACGGTTCTCCTTTAAATCCTCCGCCAAACAAATATCCTTCCGCGCATCTCACAACTACTGTATCTGGAGCGTGAAAACTGTCAGACGCCGGATCCAGAACGAACGACACTGTATTCAACTTTGGACACCCTGGATTGATTACATAATAGTACATTAGTAACATGAAAATTCAAGTAAAGTTGGTATAATTCGTAAATGAATTTCATATAGATTAGTCAAAATAATTGATATCATTTTTTTATTTTTAGAAATCGGCCAATGTTTTTTCTTCTTTTATTTTCCTCATTTATCAAACTTGAATGTTTTACTGAAATCGTTATAATCATTTAACAAAGATTTTTATGACGAAATCAATTAGTAATGCACAATCATTTATCACTTTCAATAATTGTATTTTCAAAGCATATTCAATTCTTTCCACTGTTCAATAGATTATATCGAAGGCCAGAAGCATAAACAATCGAATAGACGCGTTTACCTGCAGAAAAAGTTGCGTGAAATCCGCGATAATTATTGGTCCCACTCGTCTCGAAAGTTATGAAAAATCCGTTAGTTGACGTAAGAGTTGTCGGTAGTTGGGTACCAGAATATCCTGCTCCTTGGTGTACAGCCTCTCCTTGGGCATTCAGTCCTTTAAAAATCTAAAATTAAATCAATACACTCTAACTTCATTTCCTTGCTGATAGAAAACCAATTTTTGTAAGAATATAAGCAATAAACCAAGCATGGTTTAACAATGTAGTGCATACTTGAAGATAAATCTTTTAGCAAATAATGTTGCACTAACGTCTAACGTTATTATAAGCGAGTTGCCAAGTCTTGTAGATGCCAGACAGTTAGTTACTTATCAAAGACATTCGCTTTCAGCTTCCCCAAAATGAGTGAAAGCATCAGCCATAATTAACAAGTTTACCGTGGCAGTGTGGAATGACAATATCATGCCACCTACGAATACGTAAAAACACAAATGAACAAACGTAATGATACAGATACAAGTATATATATCTACGACTGTAGGTAAAACATTTATAACCTTTACAAAGTCCTTGTCTAGCTCAGTTTGAAAGTCAGTAAAGAACAGTCTAACACTTTTGTCTGACGGTGGATTGATTAACCAGGAACATATCATTATATCAGGATATGGGTTTACACTAAAACCGGGTGATCTGATCTGACCAGAATCTGTACTGATGGACACATCACAACCTAAAAAATATGATTATCTTTGATACTCCCTATATATAGAATGTATTATAAGTAAATTGTAATGACAAATCGATGCATGGAATTTATCTAACATCTAAGATACCATGTATTTGTAAATCTGATGAGCGTCATCATCGCAAAAAGAGATCTCATAAAAGTGATTTAATACATGTTCAGCCAATTATAATTCTTAAGTTAGTCTATATAAATTAGTGATACTATTACATCTTAAATCTGTCTTAATGATTCTAACCAACAGCTTTTTACTGTGCATATCTTAATTTTTTCTAGTGTAATAATTTTATATGTCAACAATATATCTGGAAAAAATAGTATATGTTACAGTTTGAATTATTATTATCATTCAATATTGTTCACCTTCAAAATATTTCATAAGAACTCCCTTGCAGATCCAGTGCTGTAACAATGTCATATGCACATACATGTAGTTCCCCGTTGAAGTGACATATGACGGCTCCGAATCCTTTTCTACTAGCATCAGTAAATGACTCTCTGGTCCCGGACCGTCGTATATAGCAATATTGTCGGTGCAACAAAGATCGATTGTTAAAATCTGCATTAAAAGAACTCTTAAATAACAAAAAGTCAACAATTATAATAGTTGCGGTTAATTGACAACAAAAACAATAAAAATATTGCATGTATTAAACAAAGCATTTACATATGATATGAAAAACAACAAAATGGTTTATATACCTTTTCTTTGTAAGAAAGATAGACATAAATTAAATGTTGTTTTTTATCAAATTTTATCAAAAATTATCAAATGGAAAGATTTATTTTGATCATTACTGTCAAATAATGTATATTCAAATTTTGAGTTTCGATTAAACGATTGATGTTAGGTCAAAAGTTAAATTTCAGTTTTACCTGCAAAGTGATTAACTTATTTCCAGAAACTGTGATTAGAAAGGTATGCTCATAATTTCCAACATATCTGAAAGGGTACATGGGTGTAAAGATATCGCCCGGTGTTGAGGTGGCTATCAAACTAGAATTTGACATTGGAATGTTTCCTGTTGCTGTAAAGAGAAAAAACTATATTGCTTCAAGTATTAGACAAGTCCATAAAATATTAATTTTACGTCAGAATCTACATCCTTTATTATTTAATATTGCTCTATTTCTTAGTTCTTAGGTCAGTATTTTGATGCTTGTTATGCCGATGGTTTTATCATTATCATTGATAAATGATTACTAAAATGCTGAAGACGAAAATGAATTAAGACTAAATGTGTTATTCTCTTATGATAGTTTTATTGTAATGCTTTCCCGCCAAAAGATTTTTAACATCGGCCAACATCGTAATAAATCGGTCATTTCCGGAACGTTTTCACAATTTTCGGTATTCAATATCTTTTTGTGGCGGGAAAGTATTACAGTAAAACTACCTTAAATTTATAAGCAAAAGTACCTGACATCAATTATATATCATTAGATTTGTATAAAAGGTTTTATCTTTCATTCCGATATCTTACATGTTACTCTTGACGTCAAAGGACACGTCTTTATATAAACATTGCAACATGTGCTCTCCATTATAATCGGTGCTTCCGTGATTATAAAACATTTTGGATTCGTCACTTCCGTGATGTCATACCGGAAACCCCAACATTGGCTGCTTTTATCACATTCGCTGATGCAGTCATTCACATCTTGTCTAGGTGTAAGTCGTTTATCGTATCCGCTAGTAGTTGATAATACATCAAACCCCGTCTGCTGCAGGATTTCGCATGAAAAATCTAAAAACAGCGTTACAGATAAAAGTATCATTCACTATATTAATTATTTATGTTTCAGCTATATTTAGCTACAAAACAAGTTACATGTATATCTTACTGTGGAAGACATACTTTCACAATGATGTCCAGGGTATTACATTTTGAACGAACATATATTTTTGTGCGATAAAACTTTGTAACCGGATTTCTCCCCTTCGATGTTATCTACTCGTTAACCTGTAAAAACCAGCATCAATCAAACAATTAATTAAAGTAAAATAGGTAATAGAAACAGCATCGAAACACGAGGCTATCTGATTTGTACGAGGGGGCGTAGCCCCCCAGTATTAATCAGATTGCCGAGCGTTTTTGATGTTCTTTCTCTTTTGTATCATAGCGAAAACATAAAATCACGCTCCCTGTTTCAACAATATGAAATCCCAGAAAAAAGAAAACCAAATGAACGAGCATCTGAAAAATGACATTTCTATCGCTTTCCCTTTCTCTGCCGTCACAATAAGTAAACCCCAGCAAATATTAGCCAATAAATAGGCATGCCTCTGGAGTGTGGGTAACTTATACCGGTTCTCTCCAGTTAACGCACTAATGCATGTATATGTATACGATTTAACTCTGACACATTTTAACAGAAAGGACCCCAAACTATGATACAATTGATAAAATACCGTGTAATATTTCCGATATATTTTCGAATGTTCATTGCGAAGTATATTATAAAATTCCTTATTCGGTTCATGTAAAAATTGACTTTAAGTCACTAGTGTGGTGTTTGACCAATATTGCATTCATCATTTCACTTTGTTATAGATTTAGTAATGCGAATGAATACGTATAAATATATCAATAATCAGTACCTCGTAAATTAGATAACATGTTTGTCTTGTTGTAACTAGATTTTAGCTATGAGACTTAGAGAGCTACAAGATTATTACAAGACGTTATTATATAGTAACTTTCAAATATGTACGCTACATAAAAATTTTGTCCTCATGGGCCTTTGTCCTTCAGGATGCTTCTGAAAGAAACTCTAAAAACTCTCTTGTTTGCTTTGTTATTGCACTGTATATTGTATTTATGATTCTTGCCTGGTTTTTCCATGAAAATCTGAATCCTTGTTTTTGTATGGAGCTGTCGGTGAGAAATCTCAATAGAAGATGATGGGTACTGCTAATATAGCTTCCATATTGACCTGGATTCTGACCGGAAATCCGATGCTATCAACTGACTACTGAGGATTGTGGGTCCGCCATCCCCAAAATTTCAAGGACATCCAGGTTTTCTTCAATGTCGAATATATCGAACTGTAAATGAATTGTTTTTACAAGTAATAGCGTACTTAAATATGTAACTAAAAATGTGTCTACAGGACAAGGGTGCCCACCACACCCCTGTTTTGGTCAAATCTTATGACTTCTATGGTCAAATATTTTTGGGCTACATGTGGCACAGGCTGAAACTGAAAATCGTTTACAAAGTCAAGGGCAAAAACTTTGCAAATATTGAATAAATCCACAAGGAACCCCAAGGTGCATAAGTGCATATGCTCAGCTCACCAAATTCTTGTAAATTTTCAGGCCTACATGTCAAATACTTTTTAAGCTATGCTTTATGCATAGTTAAAATTGCAAATTTATATTAATTAAGTAAAGGACAATAACTCTAATAAAACTAAAAAAATCCCAGACACACAGCTTCCCAGTGATGTTGATCATTTTTCCTGTTAAGTTGGTTGATTTTAACTCAAGCATCCAAGGAACACAAAACACAATATAATAGAACGGATTTTACTAAGTCAATGGTAATTACTCTTCAAATACTGAATAATAATAAAGGAGTGACCATTGTAGACCATTCCACTTAAAAGATAATGCAGTTGATGCTACACCATACGTGTGCGATCCCGAAAGTCTTTACAACGATTATGATGATTTCATTCTTGATGTTCTCGAGTTAAATCGATTTTTAACTACTTTTATTTCAAGAAATAAATGTCGTCAAATTCATGAAACAGAAGAGAAGTACCATACCCTTGGACGCTCGACGCTTATTAAGGTAATTACAAGCTAGCAATAATTCCATGCAACTTTTTGGTAAATTCAACCCATATTATTACACGGTTTAAAAATATCAAAACTATCTAAAATTGTTTCATTATTTAATAGGTTAAAAAGTTAATGTGTTTCATTTTTTTCTATCTTTCCTATTTTTTTATGTGTTTGTCATGGCAAATTGCACGGGCTATGGCAATTTGGGATTTTCCAATGGCAAAATGGCTTGCCGTGGCAGCCATAGCTGTGTCGAGTAAACATTTCCAAATAAAAGATAAATATACTTACATGAATCTGTACTCTTTTTCCTACTTCAACTTCAATTGTAAACAAACAGTCTCGATTTGATCTGTAATATGTAGTCGTGGAAACTTCGAAACTACCACTGTCTCCTAACAGCTTCTCTGAGCAATATAATGCTGAAAGACGGATCACATGGAAATGATTAAGGTACTATGGTGCAAAAGTAACAGCATATTTGTACATAATTAACAATACAATAGCAGAATATAATATTTTCTAATTTCGTGATAGTTTGAACAGTACACCAATGCAGATCGTCTGAAATAATGCTATTTAAAGCTAGATTGTTATTTTAATCTGTGAGTAAAGAATAAACACATTTGATTTTGAATCAGGGACGTATCTCTAGGAAGATTAATATGTAATTTTCCTGTAAAACAAAAAGCAACATAAAAATGGACGTTTTATCAGATTTATAAAACGTTATCCTTTTTAAACATTTGCTCATTATAATGCAAAACTAATTATATAATAACTAAATTATTATTATTAAAAAGCTGTTATTTGCATGAACTAAATACTAAGAATTCGTTAGTTGTGTACGAAACTGAGAATTATGTTTTTATTTTGTCATTTTTTTTCAGGGGAGTGGGGGACTTAAGAACCCAACTTACGACAATGTTGTTCGTCCGAGTTATCACCGCAATCATTGGCAGAATTACATATAGTTGATTCACCAACACAGCGACCATTACTGCAGGCAAATGTATCTGAATTTGGAATATGCAGATATTCTGTATATCAACCATTCACATATATTATGTATTTTTTCAATATGATCTACTTTAAAATTTACGTCTGTTAATTTTAAATAAACATAGAGTCATATCTAGAGCTTGTATACTTGTGCTGATTTTGAAGCTCAGTTTATATATAAAATGATATGATATGATATGATATGATATGAATATATGATATATAATGGTAAAATTGTGAAAGACACATAGGGCATTCTAGCACAGTAGTAACCGATCAATAACGTCATACAATTCTATAGTTCTACTGGGACAATATATTTCTGTTTTGTAACACTATTTTTCAGAAAGTGAACTGAAAAATTTTTTGCTCTCAGCTTGCACATTGTGCGTTTTGTAAATTCTTCTTTGCTGACATCATTGTGAAAATTACATAACTTACAGTGAAAAGGGAATTTATGTATGTAAAGTGTTATATATAATGGTACAATGTGGCACAATGGGATCTGATTTGATAGTCCTGACACAATGTCATGTAGCAGGGCATAGCGTTTTATGACGATTCGTGATGAAAATTAAAAACCACAAGGCACTAATATCAAGAT